CGTAAGCAAAAGAAATTTATTTTTTCACACTATTGGAAGTTGGACATCAAACTGTCCACAGAGCTGATTTCTTCTAAAGCCTTTCTCCTTGACTGTCTCTTACCTGTGTCTTCATGTGGTCTTTCCTCTATGTGTGTCTGTGTCCTAATTTCCTCTTATAAGGATTCCAGTTACTCTGGATTAGGGTTCATCCCAATGATCTCATTTTAACTTATCTCTTTTATGACAATATCTACAAATATACCACCTGACACACTTGGGGTCAAGACTTTAGCATATAAATTTGAGGAGAACACAATTCAGCCCAACACACCCCTTATGCTCGGAGCTCTTTTCCTTCAGAGAAAGAGAATAATGCTAGGACCACTGAAATTTCAGCCTTTTGATTTGGGTCTGTCCCGTGCCTCTCTTAGGTGAGCCTGCCCACAGCAGAGATTGATTGCAGCCTGGCAGAGTACATTGATATGATCTGTGGTAAGCCCTCCTGTCCCTTCCTTGGCCCTGTCTTTGGATAAATTCACTGTGGGCTGTTGAAAAGGCTTTTTTACTCTGAGTTACAACCTTTTCTTTAAGCCAGTTATGCTTTTTGGCGGCACTTGAGGGTGGTGTTTGGGTTTTTGTGACTACCTGCTGGGTATTTAACCCTTAAAGTAACACATTCCATCTGGGAAGGGACTGGCCACCTAAACAGAAATGCCCCATATTCCCAGATTTTTTTTTGTTTCTGCTCATGGGAGTTCTCAATTTCAGCCATCCTAGACATCCCTGTCTACAAGAGTAGAATTCAGTCCCTCCATCTGCTCTTTTCCCTCTACTCGGAATTCAAGAACTCACAGGTAAGACCAGCACTGGAGACTGACTTAAGCTGTAGTGACTGCTGTCAGCACTGTTCTCAGTCTGCTGTGATTCTGGCACAGTGGAGGAGGAGGTCTCTGCCTGGAGTTATCATTACCCTCCCCATGATGAGGGAACTGTGAGGCAGGCAGGGGTAGGGCTTGTAAAGGAAGGGGAAATAGAAGCCATGCGGCCCTTAGGGTAGGTGAGGATCTACAGTAGACACTCAGTCTTACAGAATCAAGTGGCCTAATGAATGGAAGCAGGAAGCATGGGAAAAAGGGGGTTCATGTTTGAAGGAGGTAGGGCACATTTCTAGCTATTTTTCAAAGACAACACCAAGAAATTGTTTTAAAAGTAGAATTGGGAGAAAAATGGAGCTTAAAGAGTTGTAAAGAGGTTGTGTGTGTGCTAAGTTGCTTTAGTTGTGTCCAGCTCTTTGCGACCCCATGGACTGTAGCCCACCAGGCTCCTCTGTCCATGGGATTCTCCAGGCAAGAAGACTAGATGGGTTGCCATGCCCTCTTCCAGGGGATCTTCCTGACCCAGGGATCAAACCCATGTCTCTTCCATATCCTGCATTGGCAGGCAGGTTCTTTACCACTAGAGTCACCTGGGAAGCCCTATGAAGAGGTTAGTTCTTGATAAAATGTCATAACTAGCATATCCCCAAATCCTCCATATTCCCTCTCCTCTCTCCTCACAGCATTTTAAAGCTCTAGCTGAAGGCAAGACAGCATTCACCCCTCCATCCAACTCCAACTCCCAGGCTGGAGATGCCGAGACATTAACCTTCAGCTGAGACACCTCCCATGTCACTCTGTTTCACGGCTGAGCCAGCTCCTCTGCCCCGGCTGAGGAGGGATCACTGTCAGCCTCCTGGCAGCTTTGCCTGCCTCACAGCTTGACTCAGGCATGGCGCACATCCTACTACTGTTTCTGCCAGAAAGCACTGCTCGCGACCATTAAATGGCTAATGCCTGTTTCAGAGCTCCTTCACACGGGAAGTATGCGTTGACACCACTGTGGGGATTTGAGCTCTTTGCACTGGAATTCCTGGGATCCCAGGCTGCTCAGGCTGGGAGGAAGGTTGGAAAGATGTTGTTTTTGAGATAGCAATAGGATTGTTTTCTTTCATTCTTAAAGTCAATTGGCAACGGTTTTATAAATAAAATGCTCTTATCTTTCAGGTTATCCTGCTGTCCTTTAATAAAGAGAGAAGGCAGACTGACCATAGGCAGAGATGAGAAACTTGGCCTAGAGGCATTCAGTGACTTGCAGTTTAAGCAAATCAACCTTCAGAAATAAAATCAAACCCCAGTCCTTCAAGGTTGGCAGTAGAGGGGAAACATTTTTCTCCCAGAACCTATTTTTTCTGGGAGTCTCCCACCAGGTACTGCTGCCGGTCTTACAGGCTGCCTGCCTGTCCGGCTGTGGTCTCAGGGAGCCTAGCTACTGCAGCCACCCAGGGGGGAGAGGATGGGGTCTTGGATTAGGGTGGTAGTGGTAGAGGTGGACAGACTGGGGAAATTTTCTGAAGGTTATATCACCTAAATTCTACTTAGGAAGACAAATTCTAACAAAGGATGTTAAATATGGGCAACTGGTTACAAAAGTGTCTGAAGGGCTGAAGAAACTAAAGGGAGAATGAAGGTGCTTGAGGAACAAGGGTTTAGTGTCCACTGCGGGGGTTGGAAACAGAAGAGTTGCCACTGGGGTCAGGACTGCCGAGCAGTTCCATAGCCCCTCTTCCCAGGCGACAGCCACCCTCCTCTCTCCCACCCTCTCCTGTTCTGCCAAGTGCCTCCCACTGGCAGAAATTAACAGTTGGCAAGGGAATCTGGAAAACTGGGCAGCATAGAGTACAGTGGGGAGGGTGTGGGGTAAGAGACAACAGAGAAATAACCAGCAGAGGTGGAACCAACAGAACTTGGTGATAGAGTGGATGTGGGGGATGGAAGAGAAGAAATCAAGGACGACTTGCAGGTTTTTAGGCTTGAGCAGCTGGGTGGATAATGGACGTGAGAATACTAAGCAACTCTGAGAACAGGAATAAGGGGCCAAATTTAAAATAAGAGGGTAAAATAGAGGAATGAACGGTGAGGCTCTCAGCCCTCTTCCAGGCTTATCCCTCCAAAGCAGAATATTGGAAGAGTCCTAAGCAGCCAAAGAGAAAAGACCTAAAGATATTGATAGGGTAATCTAAGCAAATGCCTCGGTCCTGCTACCTACCCATCAGCTTGCATTCAGCTTTGGGGTTTCTCCTTGTGTGTATATGTGTGTGTGTATACACATAGGCATGCCTGCAGCTCTCATTCTTAAATATGAATGTACAGTCACTAGGCATTTGAAGAAAGCCAGAAAAAGAGTAAAATACAGCAAAGAAAATCAGAGAAACTAAACTTTTTTTAACTATAATATTCATAGAGAAGTAGTTCTCAAATTTGGTTGCATGTTAGAATCAACTGGAGATCTTCTAAAGATAAATTTCCTCTCCCAGACAATACACCAGACTAATGAAATCACAACCTCTGAAAGTAGGATATAAGAATCTGTATTTTTTTAAGCTTCTCAGATTATTTCAATATGCAGAAAATTTTGAGAACCACTGTCAGAGAGATGAGAAAATACCACATCCATGAAATAAAAGTAGGAGACTTATAAAAGGAACATACAGTACAGCAAGAAGATACAACAATTATAAACATTTACACACCTAATAACAGACTTTCAGAATATATGAGGCGAAGTTGGCAACTGAAGGGAGAAAGAGTTTTACAATAATAGCAAGACACTCTCAATAAGGGATAGAACACCCAGACTGAAGATAAGTAAGGAAATATCCTAAGCAGCACAATAAACCAACTAGTTCTAACAGACACAAACAGAACTCTAGCCAACAGCAGAGAATACACTTAAGTGCACATGGGACATGTTCCAGGATAGAACATATGTTAGGGCACAAATTAAGTCTCAACAGATTTCAAAAGGTAGATAGCATACAAAGTACTTTCTCAGACCACCATGAAGAGCAGTTAGAAATCAACAACATAAGGAAAACTGAAAAATTCTGCGGAAGTTAAATGATACTTAACCAATGGGGCAAAGAAATCACAAGGGAAATTGGAAAATAATTTAAGATTCTTAGAGATAAATGAGAACAAAAACACAACATTCCAAAACTTATGGGCTACAGCGAAAGCAGTGCTCAGAGGCAATTTGTAGTTATAAATGCTTACATTAAAAAAGTACTCAAGGGACTTCCCTTGTGGTCCAGTGGCTAAGACTCCTGAGTTCCCAGTGCAGGGGGCCCAAGTTCAATCCCTGGTTGGGGAACTAGATCTCACATGCCACAAGTAAGACCGGGCACAGCCAAATAAAGCAGTAAATTTAAGCACTCAGTCTGGCTTTACAACCCGAGGAATTAGACAAAGAACAAACTAAACTCAAAGATAGTGGAAGGAAGCAAATAAAGATTACAGCAGAGATAAATGGAGAATTAAAAAAAAATTTTTTTTTGAAGGAATGAAACAGACATGTAACATTCACTCAGTCAAGTTTATTGAACCTACTGTGTGCTCAGCACTGTCCTTGGCGGTATCGAGAGAAATTACAAAACAAGGTATCAACAAGGGAAAAATATACTTTGCACGCTATTAATTTGCAATCTTTCATGTTGCCTTTCAACAGTGTACTTGGGTTGTTCTGGGATATGTGATCTCCCCTCCTTTCCCACAGTTCCCTAAGGTTTCCAGCACTGTCAAATTATGTGCTACTGTGACCATCCCCTAAAGAACGGAGGATGGGACAAGAACAGTTTCCTGCTGGTGGGGAGGTCAGGGCTAGGCGCCCATGGAAGGGGGAGATATTTTGAGCAGAAAGCCGTCAACCCCAAGGGCTCAGGGCACTCACAGTGAGTCATAAAAAGGCCAAACTCGGGAAAGCCACAGCAGGACCCGGGGCCCACACTCCCTTCCCAGGAGATGTGCTTCAAGTGCAACCGCTGTGAAAAACGAGGCACAGCTGCATGCAGTCCTGAAGGCACCAGACTTCTCACCTCCCTCTTGTCTCCTGACTTGTGCTAATACCAGGCTCTGACACCACTGGGGCCCAGGCCAGTGGGGAAGTCTAGTGCCCAGTGAAGAAATGAAGGTCCAGCGTATAACCTACGATGCCCAAGAGGGGGTGGGCGCAGAGGGGCAGAGAGATGCAGCAAAAAGGACTGGTCTGTGCTTCACCAGCACCCCTGGATCAGGGGTGGGTTCATTGGAAAGAGCAGGTTGGTTCTCTACAGCTAGCAGGGTCCTAAGTTTTCCCTGAGGGAACAAAGCTGCACAGCATGTGAAGGAAATCCAGGACGTGCAAGGCCCCCCGCCCCCCAACCAAGCATGCCCCATGCTTGTTGTACACAGTGCTGAGGAGCACTGGTGCGGGGCAGAGCCGGCCCGAGCCAGCAGGGCCATGCCACGCTTAGATGCTGGCTGACCTCCAGGCACACTTGGGCACGGGCAGTCATGCAGGCCCCCAACTGGAGTCAGAACAGGTCCAGGTCCAGCCAGGAGTAGGTCCAGCTGGCAGCCTAGCCAAGAATACCCGTGCCCCCAGGCAAGCAAAAGTGGCAGAGGCATGGCCTCTTCCCATTGGCAACATGGCAAGGCAAAGGATGCCTTGGACGAGGACCAGGAGGATGCCCAGGGGCCAAGAAGGTACCTTCTCTCTTGGCCTCATCTCAGAGCCAGATTTCATCACTGCTCACACTGGACACCCGGTAAATGTAGCCCAGCATTGGGAGGCGGATGAAACCTGCGGGGTCACAGATCCCAGGAGACTCGGTCACCCTCATTTCTTGGAAGCTGGGAGACCACTCTCTGCCCTTGGCGACTCAGAGGCCTTTGGCACACGTGGGAGGGCAAGGGAGCGAGGCAGCAGGCCGCTTTCCCTACCTCGGCTGGTGAGGAGGCCACCAGGCTCCGGGTCCAGAAGGTCTGGCCTGCTGTTGTCCTGAGCCGTCTGCCGGTCTGCTGGTTTCCCTGTGGGGGGACAAAAGGGGTGGCGCCCGGGATGAGGCGTGTGCCCGATGGGGCCTAGCCCCTCCTGAGGTCCAGCGTGTCTCTTTTTTTCAGAAGCCCCTCTGAAGATAAAGCTGGGGCAAACAGCTTGCTGGGTGTACCTCTGCAGTCTGGAGTGAGGTCATTGAGCTGAAGGTTGGACGGGAGGGACATGTTCTCGCGTGGCAGGCGCACGTTGCTGAGTTTCAGGTTGTTGGAGTCACTACGGGAGGACAAAGGCTCGGATGGGCCCTGGCACCAGTGGGAACAGATTCCTGCTTGGAGCCCATTCCAGAACCACCAGAAAGCCTAGGATCCCGCCTGTCCCCATGCCACCTCTCCATTTGGCCCCTCCATACAGCCCCAGGAGTTACCTAGAGATCAGGGATGGGCGCCGGGAGGGGCCTGAGGAGAGAGAAACCACAGCACTGTCTCAGTGCACCCACCCCCTCTGGGCTCTGACCCTGCCCTCTCAGGCCCAGGTCCCTCGGGCAAGGGGCCTCTCAGATGACCAGACAGGGTTCCAGTGCCCAGCACGGCTCCCTGGGATGTATGTGGTCTAAACCACGGCCACACCCAGGAAGACCTGTCCTACCACTTGTCAGAGACCTGCCCAGCGCCAGTCACTGCCCGTGCCCTCACCCTCACCCCTGACCGCATCTCTGCGCTCCCAGCATCCTCTGTCCCCCCTTGCTTTGGCCTTACCTTTGGTCTTCTTCTCTTTCCTGCAGATCAGGCAGGCCACCAAGGTGCTGAACCCCACCAGGGTGCCCAGGGCAAGCCCTCCAGCCACAATGATGCCCAGCAGTGGCACTTCCACCCGGGTGGCCAGGAGCCCTGCAGGTAGTCCTCTGGTTAGTTCCAAGCGGCCATGACCCCTGATTTGGAGACGCCACAGGTCCCTACTCTGTCCTCTTTGCCCAAGGTGGCTGGGGACAGCTTTCATGAGAACTCACCCAAAAGACAAGTCTTCCCATTTCTGTACCCTGACCTTACACCCACCCGAGGCTCTGCTGGGCCCGTGGCTGGCAGTGCTCACCTGGGGCTGGAAGCGAGGAACTGGTGACACCCACGTCGTTGGTGGCCACCACCGAGAGGTTGTGTGGCAGGCTGCGGAGCTGCAGCTGCACGGTGTGGTTGGTGAGCCAGGGGTAGTTCTGGGCATCCAGCACCAGGAAGTCCGAGGTGTTGACAGTCACTGGCCCATCCTGGTCGATCCAGGTCACATTGGCAGGCGGGTTGGCACGCACGAGGGCAAAGAGGATGACCAGAAGGCCTGGGCCCTGAGCTTCCTGGTACTTGGCCCCAACCTGAGCAATCTCCGGCTTAACTGGTGCAAAGCAGAGACCACTATGTTCCCACCACAGCCCCTTGCTTGCCTTGCCCTTTCTTCCCAAACCCAGAAGGGAGCCAGGGGCCTGAACCTCTCCTTAGGGGGCACCAGAAAAAAGGATGGCTGGGTCTGCCAGAAACAGTATTTCATAAGGGCATAAACACTAGAACCAAATGTCCAGAATCCTGACTCTGCTACTTACCAGCTCTATGACCCGGGCAGATTGCTTAACCTCTCTGTGCCTCAGTTTTCTGATGTATAAAATGGGGACAATAGTAATTAACTCATAGGATTGTTGTGAGGATAAAGTGAGTTAATATTTGCAAAGTACTTCAGTGTTAAAACATCCTAGCAAACTGCCTGCCTGGTGGCTGTTGGGGGTCCCTGGGCAGAGAACCCCTCTCTGGCCACCCGAGGGGCACTCACATTGCACATTGAGGATAACGGATGCATTGGCTGACTGGCCACTGCCTGGGTCCTGCAGGGAGCAGTTGAGTTCATGCTGGGCCCGCTGGGCAGTGACAGTGAAAGTGCTTGTGCCTCCAGAGAAGGCCTCCCTGCCCACACTCAGCAGTCTCGAGGTGCTGGCCTCCTGCAGCTGTCCATCCAGGTACCAGGCCAATCGAGGGGTGCCAAGTCCCCCTGCCACATGGCAGGTGAAGGCATGGCGTTCATTCTCTCGAAGTGCCCGCTCTGCCCAGGTCTGACCATCAATTTGTGGCGCCAGCTCCCCCCAACCTAGAACATAGTGGAGTCTGGGGAGAGCTGGTGGACAGTTAGTACTGTTATGTGACATGGGTGAGGTCCAGTTCCAGAGGGACCTGGGTTCTCTCACCAGGGACTGGCTGGACCTTGGTAGGTGGATGAGGAGAGCCCAGTTCTGGTGTCTAAAGTGGGTACCCAAACTGAAGATGCAGGCAAGGAGGGGAGAGACAGGGACTTGACCCCACAAACACATGCCAAGGGATGAACAGGAGTGTACCTGAGCTCAGAAGGGCCGGCAGGAGCAGAAGTGTGTGCAGGAGGGTAGCTGGCCCTGGAGGCAGTGCCATGGTGGCACAGGCCTGGGCCCCAGGCTGCTGAGAGAAGGGGGCGGGCCTTGATGTTAGTAGCCAGGTGAGAGCAGGCAAGTTTAGAAACTCCTCCAGGAATTTTATCTCAGAAACAAAAATGAACCATGCACGGAAACACAAATGTAGAATGACCCACAGTGGTGAAGGCAAAGATGTAAATGATCAAGGCCCATGGTCCAAACCCAGGTTGGCACGTACCTGTACACCCTGCGTGCGCAGAATTGAGCCCTGACTCCAAGGGACAAACAGGCACATGCTCGAAGGTACACAGAAACAACGAGCAACCGTGCAGCCCGTACCAGGCCAAGACGCACAACACACACACACACCCTCACCCACCTATCCCCACCCCCCCACACACACACATACGCAGACAGTCGGGTATACAAGCCCCTCCCCAAAAAGGACCGTCCTTCTCCCGACCCCGGCTCTCTCCTGCCCGCTTCCCTTTTCTCATCCTCCGGATCTGGGCCGAAGACAAGGTGATCCAGGACGCGGGAGTAGAGAAGAAGCATCCCCGCTCCCGCCTCCGCCCAGCCTTCCTGGGCGGCTCACCTGGCTCACTCCCCGAGCGCAGCCAGAGCGACTACTCAGGCCTGCGGAACACCGCAGTCCGCTGCAGGGCCCGGGGCTGCGCCAGGCAGGGCCAATCGATGCCCGATCTCGGCCCTATGGGCCCTTCCTCCCCGGCGGCGGATCCCGGACCGTCTCATGCGTAGGGGACCCCTGAGCGCGCATCCCTGCGAGGATCGGCGAGCGGACGCGGACACAGGCGGGGGCTGGGCGAACCGACAGCTTTATTGGTTGCTGGCGCATCCCCCGACACTCCTCGCTCTCCCGCCTGCCAGCGCTCAGCGCCCGTCGCGGGGCCGGCGCAGCTGCCCCATCACGTCGGCCAGCATTCGGTTGCACAGCGCCGCGTACGGGTTGAGCAGCACCAGCTGGCGGCGCGCAAACTGGCTGCCCAGCCGCGCCGCCCGCTCGAAGTCACTGCGGGCGTCGTCGTCCCGGCCCTGCAGCCGCGCCACGAGCCCGCGCTGCACAAAGCCCTGGCGGGCGGTGCGACCTCGGCCGCCGCTCAGCGCCAGCGCGCGCTCCAGGTCCTCCAGGGCGCCTGCGGGACGGACCGACGGATGGGCACGGGTTAGGGCCGCGGCCAGCAAGATCCGGCCCCAAGTGCAGGCTCTGGGGCTCGGCCATTTACATCCCGCCCGCACACGACCCTCGAGATCAGTGTTGTTATTCCCGTTACGCAGAGATAAGACTGGAAGAGTGGGCAAAACTCGGCCTAGACTGCACAGCCAGTTAGTGGCAGAGTTGGGACTGAAGCCCAGGTCTCGCCTTGTCCGTGTTATTTTCCACCATCTGATATATCAGAACAGGGGTGGTCACTATATTATGAACCTGCTCCTGTTGCCCGGCACGAAGCAGGTGGTTTATTCCACACATCCATTATTAACCTTCTATTATTAGCCAGGTGACTGACTCTGAATCCCAGGGTCCAAAAGCATTAGTATCAACTGACAACTATTTCTTACACAATAAAGTCCGTTTTTTGTTTTTTTTTTTTTTTGGCTGCACCAGGCGGTATTCAAGATCTTAATTCTGTGACCAGGGAATGAACCCTTGCCCCTTCAGTGGAAGGGCAGTCTTGACCATTGGACCACTACGGAAGTCCCTCTCTAACGTTTTTTTCCCCTTTAATACGTATTTTTATGTATTTATTTGGCTGTGCTGGGTCTTAGTTGTAGCATGTGGGATCTAATTCCCTCACCAGGGATTGAACCTGGGTCCTGTGCATTGGGAGCATGTAGTCTTAGCAACTGGATCACCCAGAGACATCCTTCTCTAACTTTTCAAGACATTTTCTCTCCTTTTCCTCTGTATGCCTTAAAATAGCTTCTCTCACCTGTGTTCTCTACTGACTGCCTCTCCTTATTCTTTATTTCCATGGTCTTCATTATTTTGTATCTAATTTTCTTTGAAGGAGGTCTTGGAGCCAGAGCTGGCCTGCAGCACTTTTGTCACCCTCGTAAATACTTGGCTTCTTAGGCATCAGAGTTCTGAACTCAGCCTCAGGCAGCCAGTTGGTATCCACTGTAGGTCCACCGAGCTGCATTTGTTCTGGGCTCTGCTTCCATTCACTCCTGTCCTCCAGTCTATTGAGCCTGTCAGGGCAGGGAGCTAGGGGAGTGCCAGCAGCATCCTACACCAAGGCTGATCTCCCTCGTCCTCTGTGTTTTGGTTCTCGGAACGCAGCAGGGGCTCTGCTCCCTACCCCACCTGGTGGGTTGAGAAGCTCTCTAATCACAGCATTTGTTGATTTCCCTCAGAGGAGCTGGTCTAGAGGAACTGAAGGCAGAAACCCCTTGGATGCTCTCTGGGGTTCTGGTCTGTAGGCTTTCCCCAGCAGCCTTTATGGCCTTGCTCTGCCAAACTGGTGGCAGACAAGCCTGGGAAAGGGGCCCTCAGAGTTCCCCGATATCCTCAGAATGGAGCCCAGCCTCCCCAACCTGGCACTCCTGGCCCCAGGAACACCACTACCACGAGTGCCCTAGTAGCTCCCTACTACGCTTCAGTGATTCCTGGTGTTTTCAAGAGAGTTCGATCATGGCCTCATATTACCAGGTCATTGCTCTCTTGGCCTCTGTTTACCTCAGGCTTTGAAGAGACTCCATGCTTCCAGCCCTCCCTTTCCAGCCAGAGTGGAGATCTGAAGCTCCCTGTACCTGTCCGGGACTTCTGGACTTCCACAGGCCGTGCCTTTTCCCACTCGCTGCCCTCAACCAGCTAACTCCTACTCATCTCCAAAACTCACCCCTCAGGAACAGACCCCCAAGCTGAACCCTCTCAGCTTATTATGTGGCTGTTAGGTTTGTGTCTGTCCTGCACTCAAGGCTGAGCTTCATGAAAAGCAGTATCATGTGGGGATTAAGCCCTGCCACCTGAACCAAATCCCAGCTTTGCCACTTCTCAGCTATATGACTAGCAAGCTATTTTACTTAACTTTCAAGCTTTAGTGTAACATCTGTCAAATGGAGACAAAAGCATGCACCTTTTTAGTGTTGTAGTGAGGGCTAAACAAATGATGACAACTGACATGTAAAGTGCTCAGTCAGGGGACTTCCCTGGTGGTCCAGTGGCTAAGACTCTGCACTTCCACTGCAGGGGGAATGAGTTTAATTCCTGGTCAGGGAACTAAGATCCCATATGCTGCAGGGTATGGCCAAAAAAGAAATAAAAATAAATTTAAAAAACCTTTATTATTTTTAAAACAGGACTTCCCGAGTGGTTCAGTCCCCTTCCAATGCAGAGGCTGGGGGTTTGATCCCTGGTCAGGGAAATAAGATCCTACATGCCATGGAGCAACTAAGCCCATGCGCCAAACTATTAATGGAAAAGCCCCCTCCAAGTGCCACAGCAAAGACCCAATGCAAACAAACAAAAAAACCAAAAAACGGAATCTCTGAATCCATGATTAAAGAGGAAAGACAAGATGCATCTTGTACAGAAAGCTGTTGGTTAACAGATTTAGAAAGTAGGAGAATAAAGTTACCATTAAGAAAATATATACAAGGGCTTAGTGCCTGGCACATAGTAATTGCTGTTAAGAGTCCTCAGCACCTAGCCCACTGCTACAATATAGGCTCTCATTAAATGTTGTAAATAAACAGACTGTAGTCTCTCTCTCACAATATCCCCAAGAGATCAGCAAGGCCCATGACGTATCTCTTATGAGTAGGGACGTAGGTTCCAGAGCTCAGTGACTTCCCACACTCCATGTCCAAGCCCCGCGGCCACAGCATCTCTGGTCTGTGTCCTCCCAGGCGCCCTGCACAGGCTCCAGGGACCCTCCCCTCACCTGCCACATCCCCCTGGAGACGCCGGGCCTGGGCTCGGTTATTGTAGGCTGAGGCCCTCTCAGGCAATAGGTTGATGGCTTGGCCAAACCTCTCCAGGGCTGTGCTGAGGTCACCAGCCTCTGCTGCGATCACCGCCTGCAGCTCCAGGGCCTTGGACTGCTCCAGCTGTGCTCGCGGGAAAACTTCATCTGTGCCGGGGAGGGAGCCAGGAGGAAACAGCTGTGGTTGGCAGCAGGAAGCAACAGTCCCCTTGGGCTTTGGGAACCTGGGACATGAGCCAGGGCTGACCAGGCAGGGTGTAGGTCACTACAATCAGATGCAGTGTTTGGGGCAGGGGGAGCAGAGGCCACTGAGGAAGAGCTCTGGCACTGCCTAGTTCCAAAGAGACCTGGGAAAGTGGCCTTGGTTGGCTCCCCAGTGCCAACAGAATGAAACCCAAACTCTCTAGCCTGTAGCTAAATCATTGGTTGAAGGTCACACCCCCCAGAAGTTGCACAGATTGGATTGGAACCCAGGTCTTTCCGACTCATTAGTCTGTCCCCATTTTGTTCTAGTGCATTGCTTCCAACAGGAAGGCCTCCATGATACGGGGTCACGAAAACCATTTCCAATGTTTCCCTCAGCTTTTCAGCCTAAAGTTTCATTAAGACTTAGGCTTCGCTCCTTTAGAAATAAAGAGCATCAAAACTTCCAGATGGTGACAGTCCCTCTTATGGGCCAGTAGAAAAGCCAGTGAGCACGTTCAATCTGGAAGCATTAGCTCAGGGCTTGGCATTTAAAGGTGACACTGAATGCTTGCTTAGTTGAAACTGATTAGCTGAGCTACCCCCTGCCCTGTTTCTGTCTTCCATGCCGTGGAGGGTGATACCATCTGTTCTAACAAACGTGTGTGAATTTCACATGGCCCCGCTCCCCGCCACCAGTTAAACGTGGGGCAGGGTTGGAAGACAAACCCTGGCTTTCTCCTCTGGGTTCAGTGACTCTTGCCAAGCTTCCATCAGTGCACTGAGGATCAGCAGTCATCATCCAAGTGTTGGGGAATGAGCAACCTTGTAAGACCACCTACTTCTGCCACCCCAGTGAGGTAGCAGACCAGCCAGTGTGGAGAGCTGGATTCCAAGGTCAAATACTCACCTTCGTCTACTTCCTTCTCTGCTTCATCTCCCAGGTCCAACCCAACAATATCTCCAAACGGGGAGTCGGGGTTGAAGATGGCCTGCAAGACGGCCTGATCATTTGGAGTCCCCATGGTGTTCAACTCCCAGATAAAAAAGGTGACTCACAATGAGGGGAAGGAAAAAAGGCTGAGGGCTGAGCCTCTTGTCAGTTTTAAGCCTCTACCTGATCCAGAGGGAGGAGGTCTGTTTGAGGACCAGCTCCCAAGAGGAGTGTTATCCAGTCTTCGGCTGGAGTGTAAACTCAAGCCCCTTCAGCCTGGGGACAGTGACCCTGGCTTGGCTGAATATTTACAAATATTTCTCAACTGCTTCCCTACCCCCACCCCAGTCTGAGGGAGAAACAGAAAAAGTAAATCCCATTTCAGCTTTAAGGTGGAGTGGAGCCAAGAGAGAGGGTACTGTCCATCTCCCAGAAATGTTTTCTTTATACTCACAGATTTGGGAAGAAATTGTTAGAAGCCAATGCCTGACTGCCTGTGGATGAAGACTGGGTATTTGTAGGAAGTAAAGGAACTATTCTTTTGTTCTCTTGACCCCTTCCTCACATCCAGAGTTAATTAGGTCCCAAATATATATCACTGATGAAGAGAAGAAAATACGATTAAGAGAGGCAGTGTAGAGTGAAGCCTGACAGAAGGGAATGATTTCAAGATTCCACCTTAAAAGAAAGGACTGTGGAAGAGATTTTGTAATCAGGTCATGGGCCACAGCCCTCCCACCTCAGCCAAAGCCAAAAGAAAGTTCAATCATGTGCAGCAATAAACTTGACATGTTTATTAATTAAACTATCACTTAAATAAAAAAAAGTGCATAGAAAATAAACATGTTTAAAAACTCCTTTTTTTTTACAACTATGTACACTTTTTACTTTTACATTCAGTCTTTCGTAGACAGCTTTCAGCATTATTATTTTTTGAACTATTAAAGTATTTTCCTTCTTCCCTGTCACAGGGAGTTAACACTGATGGACTTTAGACACATTTTTTTCCTTTTTTTTTTTTTTTCTTTTTCTCTAACCAGAAGCTTGGAAGAACACAAGGGAAAAAAAAAAAAAACAAAACCGAAAGATCTGTTATACATGATAAAGTTGTCAAGAAATGTCTTATTCCTAGAAAAGAAGCTTGTCATCTGTTGAGCTTTTGAAACAATTATTCAACTACCTGTATTTACTAAAGAGACTGTTAAAAGTTCAATAAAAGAAACACCACAAGTCTATTTTCTTGGTTGAAAGACAGAACTAGAGTACCTCGGAACAAGATACCAGGAAAGCACAGAACACAATTTTCCCCTAAATGCAGGTGGTAACCCCAACATTCATAACCAAAAATAGAGAAACAAGGAGTACAGGTACTGACTGGCAACATTCACAGGCAGAAAAAACCCAGGTGACACCATTTCTGCATTTCTCTCTGATCCCGGGAATGGACTGCTTTGCCATCCCGGAGTTGGAGTCTCCTCCCATGTGGGGGGATCAGAGGAGCGCCAGACTGACAATTTCCTGCCACTACTAGCAACTGTAACACAATCCTTATCTATAGTGTTAAGAGAATTAAAGCCATGGACTGAACTAGGCTTTGTTACATGGTGCATTACTATATTAGTTCCTATATATATCATATTTATATTTATTTGAAAACCAAAACAAAAAAGTTGCAAGGTTTCAGAGTGTGAGACTTGACTGGTATTCATGATTCGGCACAAAACCATCTGCTCAATAACCTTGTATTGCTTTAAAATGAAGGAAACGAAACATAAAATTACACCCAGCCCTTTGCAATGACCCGCTTTTCCTTTAAAAAAAAAAAAAAAACACCAAAAAACCCACAACTTGATTTCTATTAAAAAAAAAAAATCCCAAATCAAACTTAACATCTGACAAGGTTTTGACCTTTAGTATTTTCAGATATTCGATTGAACGTCAGTCCTTTAGAAAGATACATTCATTAGAAGGTTTTTTTTTTGTTGTTTTTTTTGTTGTTGTTGTATTTTTTTTTTTTTTAAATCAAGGGAGCTGCATGGTGCTCACAGCATTGGCCGGGGGGGTTGACAGAGGCAAGCGGGGTGGCGGAGTGGATCCCGGCAAAGGAGTCTGGTCGAAAACTTTTATATATATATATATATATATATATATATATATATATATATATAGCTGCCAGGGCTTCCCCCTTGATTCTGGTTATTGGTCTAAAAACAGGAGGGCTGGGCTGGAGGTGGCGGACGGTAACGGAGGGAGCCAAAGGGACCAAGTTCCGGCCAAAGGGTCAGCGCCATGCAGCTCCTCTGGTTACACAGTTGTCGCTGGCCACCAGGAAATGCAGCCACAAGAGGTTCTAGCAGCAAAGCTGTAAGTGAGCTGGCTCTCTCACTGAGAACTGACCCGGTTTGCAGCTGTGACCCCTTAGGGATTAGGGGTGCCCCTCAGGGGATTCTTGGGAACAACCCACCATAGTTCCTCAGTCTGCACTTTTGTGCGGAGATCCCCTTGGTCACTTTCACAACAGACTCAGAGGTGTCTTGGAGATAGCTATGCCGGTTTTGTGTTTTTTTTTCCCGCCTTCTTTCCCTCTTGCAGGGAAAACCTTAGCTTAATCCCCAAGTTGCTGGCAGGTACGCTGAATTTTGGCAATGGACTCAAGGCTGAGATCTAGGAGGAACTCCTCATTTCTGTGGTTGACAGGGAGTGGAAAGGCAAGGCAAACCATCTGCAGCTGGCAGGAGAAGGAAGCTGGGGGTCCCTCCCCGGCCTCAGGGTTTGGGGTTGGTAGAAAGAGATGAGGAGGGGGCTCACAGTACAGCGCGGCCTAGCAGGGCAGTCACTAGGTCTACTGAGCTGAGTTTCCCCCACTCCCGACTGGCCTTTGGGTCTTTCTCAAGGTGAATTCATGACCCGTCAGTGCATTAATCATTTCAGTAACAAATGCAGCTTAAGGTTTTTTTTTTTTCTTTAAAAAAAAAAAGAAAAAGGAATAAAAGGATATACAAAAAAACCTCACACAGTGCAATAATAAAGGAAACCAGACACCAGTGGAACCCCTTGGGCCACTGTATCTTGTTCACGGGCAAAAGGAGGAAGGGAGGTGAGGTCTGGGCAGACTGCTTTGCCCCAGGCCCCTGCTGGCACTTCTCTGAGATGACAGGGAGTCTCTGCCATCCTGGCCACAGTGCTGGGTTCCCTGCACAACAGAGAAAACAGTGACAGTGTTCCAGCAGAGCCACCAAAGTTCTTAATTAAGGTCACGGAAGAACAGGGAGCCCAGGGTGGAAGGCACAGCAGAGCCGTGAGTCCCGGGGCAGAGAGCGCTGGGCTGAGTCGTATTGCTTTGCTAAACTTCCTTCCAGAGGAATGGGCTTGTGGTGAGAAGAGGCGCCCTGCCCTCCACTGGACTACGCTGCTCTGAAACCTTGTGGCTGACAGGCCGAGGAGCATCTGCGTTATCGTGAGTGGTCAGACTGTGCTTCAGTTTCAACGGGCTGCCCAAAAGAGGGCATGGGGGGACCCAGGGGGTCTTTGCAGGCGTGAGGACTTGGTGGGCAGAGAGCGGGGGGACGAGGTGACCTACGAGGCAGATGGTGATGGAAAACATCAGGTTGCCATTCAGCTTGGTTGATAACTCTGAAGGAGGAAAGACAGGGAAGTGCTGGCGCTCACCTCTCAGCACTGGGCTGTGCCAGGAAGGAGGGAGAGAGGCGGGCAAGAGGAGGCGGAACTGCTGTGTCGAGACCCTACCGCAGCCATTCAGGAGCTCTGACGAGGGAAGGAGGGGAGTGGCCCGATGGCGCTGGGGGCACCTTCCTTTTCCACTTATTGTCAAAGAGCAAACCCAGGAAACGTTTATGTCAACAGGGCACAAACAAGCTACACATTAAACAACGAAAAGGACACCTTCCAGGGGGAAGTTGGGCAGGAAAAACCAGACTTTGTGTGTACAGCTGAATATTTTCTCTAACTTCATCCTATGAAAATAAAAAATTATTAAAAACCGATCTTCTTTTAAATTAGGATAATACCGCGTTTTAAAAAATAGCCTTGTCATAAGTGCTTCTCCCTATGAAGTGCTTCTCATAGAAAAATATACAAAATATATTTACATTTATAAAACCTTAAATAGTAAACTGTAAACAGAACCGAGTAAAATCCAATGACTTAATTTAACAGGTTCAGGACACCGTCTTGGGGAAGAGAAGAGAAGAGAAGAAACATTTGATGCTGTTTTGACCACAACCTAAGGAGTAATCAGGGCAGTAGTGTCATTTCATTTCATTTGCTTTAGCCACAGATTTTGCACAGGTGGCAGAGGTCCCTCAATAAAGGTGGTCTAGTCCCCAAGTTTTGGGCCTTGAAATCTGATTAGTGTTCTGCCTTCAACTGGACACTGACCATTTAAAAATTAAGTCTTCCTATGTCTTAACAAGGGGAAAATAAAGTTACCATGTCCTAGGAATGGGACCCAGGGGTCATCCTGGTTGTGAAACTCTGACTGTTGCATGATTCAAATCCTATTTAAATAATCTTCCTCTTCTACATATATTTCTTTAAAACTCTCAGTGGAGCTTTATGAAAACATCTCCAAATTCTGTCTGGTTACAGCCAATGGCTCCTGTCCACTTTCCCACTGGGAGTGCTTACAGACTCAGGGAACATCTTGTAGGCACATCCTATGCCCAACAGGGAGTGTTCTTACACAGGAGTCACTCTCCCTACCACCCAGAGAGAACGGGAAAGCGGTGGGATGCAGAATGGGGAAACGAGAAAGTGGAGTGAAGAGAAGGAATGAAAGGGAAGCCGCTCCTATTGTCTAGGAAGGTGACTGACTGAGATAAGGCTCATGGGGCTGACACTCCCGCTTAAAGCCCACAGGCTCAATGTTTGGTAATGAATTGGCACAACCCCAAGACAGCTTTTGACACCAAAGGTGCTAAGAATCCTGTCTCCCAACCAGAAGGGAACTGTCAACTGGGAGGATAGTAGGGAAAACCACCAGACCGTCTCTCTTTGTTCAACACACGGCTACAGGCTGGGCCCGGCTGGCAACCTGTCAGGTCTCCAACCAACCCCGCACCAGGGCTGTGCCTGACCCCTCGATTACAGGTGCTCGGGAAACGCCAAGACGAGGATGGCAACTTCTGAGGAGGTGCTCAGGCCAATCTCCCTACACAACTAACCCTCTACAGGCTCCTTCCAGGCAAGTCTGCTAGGGACCCCTTCTCCCACTTTTTAACAGCACACAATCAGAGGGGCCCCAGTAGAAAGCCGATCATGGATCTTTTCTTCTAGACCTCATCTCTCTCCAGGACTATGATCACATGTAGAATGTGAATATGGGACCCAAGGGAACCCAGCTGTCACAGAGGCCCCTCAACTGTGCCCGCTCAATCCTGGAATACCTGGCTGCTGGCAAAGGCCTTCGGCATCGCAGTGGAGGCCCTGGGTCCTAGTACTCCGATACTGGGGAGGAGAGCAGCTTTAGTTTAGGAACTTCCGGCATTTCTTGGCACCACAGTTGCAGGGGAGCTTGTTGCTGGCATCCTCAATGGGGAATTTATAGTCGTAAGTGAGTTCCTCCCCTCGATAGATCTTGCGCATGGCAAAGATGACAATGTGCTTCTGCCCATCGATGTTGATGACCCGAGAGTAGCAGTTGGGCTCACATGAATGGTTGATGAAGCGGGCGGCGTTCCCGTGCATGGTGGCGTCCACCACCTCAGAGTCATCGATCCGGAACATGTAGCAGCCGATGCCCTGCAGGAAGGAGGACAGAGAACAGCCTGGTGTTGATTACAGCTCAGGCTGGACAACACCCAACCTTTTTCTGATGTGATCTTAGCCATTGACGAACAAAGTTCCTTCTGGTAAAATTTCTGGATTTCTCCCATCTTTCAAGATGCTTCCACGAGAAATTCCTAGATTACAGGCACTGGACCACAGATTTATTAACGTCTCCACAAGAGAAACCTGTGGCAAGAGAAACCTACAGCTTGCGTCACAATGTGCTTTTGATCCTGGGATCCATTCAGACAAATCTCAAAGAGTATCTTTGTGTGCTAATCCCTAGTGTGGACTGGGCCCACCACAAATTCAGAGATGTTAAAATGTAATAAAACAGTGTCTAATTAATAAAATACACAAACTCCTCTGGGGTCTGGGGGCCATCTGTGTAGGTGATGGCCCCTTTCTATAACCAAAGAGCTGGAGAGTGCAAGTGTGCAGCTCACCTTGCTGTCATAGTACTTCTCTCTCTTGTCAGTCTGGATGGAACGGATGACATTGCCAGCGTACTCAATCACCATCTCACCTGCATCAATGTTTCTCTTACAGAAAAGACCTCGGCCGTGGATGGGAGACCTAGGACATAAAGATGGAAAAGACATCAGCTGCCGATTTTGCAAATAAGGTTAAATGTGTGAATACGTGAATAAAATCTCCAGGTCTAAGAAGAGATTTACTGGTCTCTATTTCTATTGGTTCTATTCAGTAGAATCTCTTGGTCTCCATTTCTCCAGGAGAGACAGACACTTGGGAGAGAAAAACTGGACCCACCTGATTTGAGTGAATATACTAATCATTCTAACAAATTGCCAAGGATTAAAGATTTCTCCATTCCGTAACCGACCAGAAGTAGCAGTACATTAATGCTCACTGTGTTAAATTCCCTGTTCAACACAAGGAGCTCCAGGATCCCAGGACATCAGGTTCAATTAGTAATACTGATAAAAACCTCACTTACTGAATGAAGGAGGTGACTTCAGCATTTGGTCCACTTTGATTTTGGAAAACTTCATTAGTTTTCTAGAGTTCTTTCTATAATTTTAGCCATACCTGTAGACACCAACTGCCTCCTTAGAAGTCTTTTTTAAGTGCCGGAAACGCATGGGCATTGGTAGATCCATACTAGTTGCCCTCCTAAAGAAAGAAGGCTCGTTATTAATAAATTCTCTTTAGGAAATCACCAGTTTCGAGTCTTGGATCAAAGGGTCCTAGAGCATGTGACTACACTGTGTGTTCAATGCTAAGCCTAACAAGTGCCTTAAAAAATTTATCGTTGCTTAGTTGCTAAGTCATGTCCCACTCTTTTGTGATCCCACAGACTGTAGCTCGCCAGGCTCCTCTGTCCATGGGATTTCCCAGGCAAGAATACTGGAGTGGGGTGCCATTTTCCTATTCCAGGGGATCCTTCTGACCCAGGGATCAAACCCGAGGCTCCTGCATTGGCAGATGGATTCTTTACTACTGAGCCATGAGGGAAGCCCACCTTATAAAATTATGCCTATAATATGTTATATACGAAACCTATGGTGGTACACCCAAGCTGACAGAGTATACCATAGTTGAATAAAATATACATCTTATATAGTTATTTGAGTTTCTCCTCTGTAACATATTCCTCTCTCTTTGCCAGCCAGCTACTGCTACTTCAACACAAACTATATTCCTCTTCTTAAATATTATTTGGGATATTCTGATCCAAGCAAAACTGGAAGAGAGGGAAGCAAATATTTCTTTATTTTTTAATATAGTTGATTTACAATGCTGTGTTAATTTCTAGTGTATAGCAAAGTGATTTTACTTTATATTCTTTTACATATTCCTTTCCTTTATGGTTTATTACAGGATATGGTTTATTACAGGATATTGAATATGGTTCCTTGTGCTATATGGGAGGACCTTACTGTTTACCTATCTTATATATAGTAGAAGTTTGTATCTGCTAATCCTAGACTCCTAATTTATCCCTACCCCCTTTCCCTTTTGGTAACTTTAAGTTTGTTTTCCATGTCTGTAAGTCTGTTTCTGTTTAGTAAAATAAGTTCATTTGTATTGTATTTTAGATTCCACATAATATAAATGATATCGTATGGTATCTGCCTTTCTCTTTCTCACTTCACTTAGTATAATCTCTAGGTCCATTCATATTGCTGCAAATGGTATTATTTCATTCACAAAGAGTATTTCTGATGACCCCTCTCCACTCCAGACTTACCGAGCTGACTTCAGCTGTACCTCCTCCTCTTCCTCATCATTGGGGTTGTACTCAGGAGGCTGCCGGTGTTTAGAAGCCAGGAAGTTAAACATGTCAAATGCTGACTTCCTGGAGCCAAAAGATTAAGATATGTTTAGAGAGACAGTTTAGTAGAACCAATGAAGGACAGTATTAACAGGAAGTCTCAGAGGTTAAGTGGGAAAATAATTATACCAGTAGACAATAAAATCAGGACCCCACACTGCTTAAGGAAAAGAACAGAACTTGCCTCAGGTGGACTTCAGCCCTGGCTGAGCCATGAGGGTTCAGTGGGGGCTCATTGGCCTCCTCTGGCTTGTGGAAACGGAATTTGTAATTCCTACAGTGCTTGGCACCAGACAGTTGCTCAATCAGGAATACAACAGCGTCATGGAGAATCCCCAGCATCCGCAAACCGTTCACACCTGTAGGATCGAAGGCACCAGGGTAGTGAGGAGCCCAGCCAACAGAAGCCACATACAATCACAGAAATGCCTAAGCTAGGGAACAACTCTGCCAGGGGCTGCTCAAGAGTGAATTATATAAAGATGAGCTAGAAATGAGCATTAGGTAGCCAATAAAATAATGTGGATATAGATCCATATGGAAAACACTTGTGACACTGAAAAAAGCATGCCATCAAATTCTGGACTATTTTCCTTTCTATGGTCCTATGTACATGGGAAATGCTGTGGTATTTCATTACAAGGTCACAGTGACCATGAATTATGAGATGAGGCAGGAGTTACTAGCCTCATCTCAAGGAAAGTAAATCTAGATTCACACCTAAGGTAACCTAGCTAGTGTGACAGGATTTGAACCTTGGACTGTGTAACTCTAACTATGACTCCATTTTTGTTTATAGGTAATGGAGCACCTCGGAGAAGCCCATGGCACCCCACTCCAGTACTCTTGCCTGGAAAATCCCATGGACGGAGGAGGCTGGTAGGCTGCAGTCCACGGGGTTGGGAAGAGTCGGACATGACTGAGTGACTTCACTTTCACTTTTCACTTTTATGCATTGGAGAAGGAAATGGCAACCCACTCCAGTGTTCTCGCCTGGAGAATCCCAGGGATGGGGTCGCACAGAGTCGGACACGACTGAAGTGACTTAGCAGTAGCAGCAGCAATGGAGCACCTGGATTCTATAAGCTCATACACATACACACAGGCACCTCACTAAAATCTATAAGGAATGTTGGCAAACCCTAACAGAGAACTCTCTTCCATGTTATTACAGTGAATGTATGGAGAAATACACCCAATAGCCACTTTGCTTTACTCTTTAAGTCTTAATCCACTAATGAGCACTTCTTATTTCATTTTATTTTTTTAAATTTCTTTTTATTTTATAAAAAACAACATTTATGTAAGTCTGCTGGCATAGATGGCTTTCTGAAATGATTGTCTTCCTTCATTAATGAATGGGACAGAGTAATAAATGCCATCCCTCTTTTTGACACTAGCAAATAGCTAATTAAGCAAACAGTATTATTTCATGTACAATTATTGTTTTTGATTATTAATAGATAACAAAATAATAATGGTGTCTATTGCAGATAAGATATATATTTCACAGGCCTAACTGTGCTAGAATACATGTAATTCCAACAGACATATAGCTTATATAAAGCATATTTATAGAGATGTAACCCTAGTGTAATTTGGGGGCCTTATGTTATGTCTCAAAGGATGTCTGTGTTTAAATGTTAACAATCACTTCTAGGAGGTGGAACCTCATCCTACCTTTGAATTTGTTATTGCGGTAGTTAATTTTTTCAACTTGTAAATTTTACATCTTGGATAATTTTTCTAAAAAGGGAAAAGTTATTATTAGATGCCTAATTTCCACTTTACTTAAGAATATTCTAAGGGATATAATTTGGTTTTAGAGGCAAGCAGAAAGTTAAGTCTCCAGATAAACAACATTCTTATGATAAAATTATTGTTCTGATTATAACTCAACCTATACAAGTATAAAACACAAGTTGACAATATAAGAGCTTAAGCCATAAAAGGCAATGACAAGCACTTAAAATATATATATATATGTATGTATGTATTGGGCTGCACTGGGTCGTAGTTACAGCACATGGGATCTTCAGTCTTCACTGTGGCAAGAGGCATTTTTAGTTGCAGCAAGCAAACTCTTGGCTGCAGGATATGGTATCCAGTTTCTGACCAGGGATCAAAGCTGGGCTGCCTGTACTGGGAGCACAGAATCTTAGCCACTGAACCGCCAGGCAAGTCCCACTTTTTTCTCTAAAGAACATTGAGTTTTTCCCAAGAATTTCTTCCTAGCATTTTAGATTCCTGTGCATTCCGACAGAAAAAGCCATTAAAAAGATACTTATGGGTATTTTCACAAAATTCATTTTAAGGTTTAGTCTGAGTAACTCTGCATTTACTAGAGGGCTTACAATGAGCTTAGACATTGTGTCAATAACAGGAAAAGAAAGATGAGTTATGCATGGTGCCTGTTCCCAAGGAGCCCTTGGCATAAGGAGGTACATTACATACACAAACCTCGCAATGTAAAAGCAACCAGATAAATGTGTAGGATACAGTACTGTAGGAACAGCCTAGTCTCTGGTGGGTGATTCACTTACTTGTCCAACAAATATTTACTGATCCCCTGCTGTATCACCTGCATTTGTTCCGTCTACCCACTGTGGCAGAAAGAATCTTGGGAAAACAAAGGTGAACATAACTGGAAGGTACCTGAGACAGGAAGGTCTCAGTTTTAATGTTACCTCAAAAGACACCTTTCCTGACCACTCTATCTAGAAAAGACTCCCTGCCAGCAATTACCTACCCTTGTGTCAGCCTCTTTCATTACTCTGTTCTATCTCCTTCAGAATGACTGACAGCTGCCTCTAGAACATAAGGGTGTGAGGACAAGGACAAGGCGGTAGCCTGGGAGATGGAGAATGATAGACAGGTTCTGGATTACGAAGCACAGTGATCAGCGTGGTTCACTCCCAGCATCTACTACTTTGTTTTCTGTGTCTGTGTGTGCTAAGTCACTTCAGTCATGTCCGACCCTTTGTGACCCTATGGACTGTAGCCTGCCAGGCTCCTCTGTTCATGGGATTCTCTACGCAAGAATACTGGAGTGGGTTGCCATGCCCTACTCCAGGGGATCTTCCCAATCCAGCATTTCCTGCAACAGGTGGGTTCTTTACCACTAGCACCACCTGGGAAGCTCCATGTCTGTGGGTCTATTTCTATTTTGTATATAAGTGCATTTGTATCATCTTTTTTTAAGATTCCACATGGTGGCACTACTAGTAAAGAACTGGCCTGAAATGCAGGAGACCTAAGAGATGTGGGTTCAATCCCTGGGTAGGGAAGATCCCCTGAAGAAGGAAATGTTCACAGCACATTCGTTAAGTGATATCATACATTTGTCTTTCTCTGTCCTCTCTTCCCTCTTAAAACAAAAATATTATAAAGAAAATTCCTCTAGGTACTCACTCATTTTCCTTTCCAGGACCAATTTGAAAGGAGACTGTTAGAGAGGGGGCTAGATACAGAAGAGCCAGGGTGAATGGAAGGTTTTCTCACCCTAGATTAATTAAAATCTGTAACTGTGCTTGAAACTGCCGTGTGATATATTTTTACACTGCCTAAATTTAATTTGAAATCTAATACCAATGAATCTATTTCAACTTTAAAAAGAAAGTATAAAAAAAACACAATGAGATACCAATTCATACTCACTAAGAAGTCTATGATCAAAAAGACAGACACTAACAAGTGCTGACAAGGATATGGATACTGGAATCATTGTATATTGCTGGTGGAAATGTAAAATGGTGATGCCACACTGTAAAAACAACTTAGCAGTTCTTCATAAATCAAAGCACAGAGTCACCATAAACCCAGCAGTTCCACTCCCAGTAGCAGAATCTTACGTGTATTATCAATATTCAGTTCAAAGTGACCCCGGGAGAGGCCACATACAAATTTTTTAGTTCACCCAATGACCACCACAGTTGGACAGAGCAGAATCTGTGAAACATATTTTGTTGCCCCCAAAGTATCTCTCTCACCAATCTAAAAAACAAAAAAGACACTATCCCCAAAGTAAAAGAGAAGGCAGCCCACAGAATTAAAGAAAATATTTGCAAATTACATATCTGATAAGGAATTATTATCCATAATATACAGAACTTCTGAAACTCAACAACAAACAAAGAAACACCTTATGAAGAAATAGACAAAGGACTTGAATAAACATTTCTCTAAAGAAGATATATAGATGGCTGATAAGCACAAGAAAAGATGCTCAACCTCTCAAGTGATTAGGGAAATGTAGAGAAAACAACAAGTATTGGTGAGGATGTGGAGAAATTGGAACTTTTCTGTATCACTAGTGGGAATGTAAAATGATATAGACACTGTAGAAAACAGTATGGCAGTTCCTCATAAAATTAAAAATAGAATCACTATAAGATCCAGCAATTCTACTTCTGGATATATATCCAAGAGAATTGAAAGCAAAGTCTTGAAGAGATATCTGTACACATATGTTAATAGCAGAATTATTCAAAATATCAAAAACTGGGAAGCAAGCTAAGTGCCCACTGATGGATCAATTGATAAAGTAAATGTAATATACATTAAATGGAATATTATTCAGCCTGAAAAAGGAAGTTCTGCAACATGCAAGGATGCACCTCGGGGACATTATGCTGAGTGTACTAAGTGAGGCATTAGAGGACAAACACTGAACTATTCCACTCACATGAGGTGCTTCAAATAGTTAAAATCACAAAGATGGAAAGAAAGAATAATGGTGGCTACCAGAAGTTGTAGGAAGGGGAGAATAGGGAGTCACTGTTTAATGGATACAGAGTTTCAGTTTTACAAGATGAAAAGTTACATGAACTTCCCTAGTGGTTTAAAGAATCTGCTGGCCAATGCAGGGGACAAGGGTTCAATCTCTGGTTTGGAAAAATTCCACATGCTACGGGGCAACTAGGCCCATGCACCACCACTACTGAAGCCCATGTGCCCTAGAGCTTGTGCTCCACAACAAGAGAAGCCATCACAATGAGAAGCCCGTGCACTGCAACTAGAGAGCAGCCCCCACTCGCCACCAGAGACAGTCCACACACAGCAACGAAGATCCAGTGCGGCCAAAAACATAAACAAACAAATAAGATGGCGAAGTTATAGAGATGGATGGTGGCAATGGCTGCACAACAGGGTGGCTGTATTTAATCCACTGAAGTGTATACTTACAGATAATTTAAAAATACTTCTAATTAAAAAATTTTGTTATGTGTATTTTGCTACCATAAAAATTGTAAAAAAGAAAAAAAAAATGAATAAAGTACTGAGGTGATGTTACAGTAGAGAAATCTTGAAAGAATTATATTAAATGAAAGCAGCCAGGCACAAGAGGCTACGTCCTGTATGAGTCACTTCTGCAGGAAATGTACGAGTAGGTGAACCCAGAGAGACAGAGGCGAGGAGTGACCGCTAGTGGGGCTGGGGCCGAGGAGTGACCGCTGGTGGGGCTGGGGTTTCTTTCAGGGATGAGGGAAATGTTCTGGGATTATACAGTAGTGATGGCTTGCACAGCTCTGTGAATACACTAAAAGCCGTTGATTTGTATGTTTTAAATGGGTAAACTGTGTAGTATAAGGTTTATGTCTCAGTAAAGTGTGAAAAATGTTTTTTTTTAAAAAGGGGGATGATTTTTTGAGTAGAATGAACCCTGTCGCTTAGAGTCATAAGCTACCAGAGGATACTGAAACAGGCGGAAGATGGCCTCTGCAGCATTACCTGCAAATGACAGCTGCTTCAGGCGGGCGTTGGACCGAGCCTCCTGGACTTTGTCTGTCAGTGACTTCCAGGCATCTGTAAGGGAGTAAGACACTCAGTTAGTGTCGCTCTGCGATGCACCTGAAACTATCACAACACTGTTAATTGATTATACTGCAATGTAAAATAAGAATCTGCTTTTTTTAGAGAAGATTTTCAGTCAAACATCTCAACACCAATGTAGTGAAAATATTCCCTGCTAAATCAGCTTTATGTTGCTTTTAGTTTAAATCAGTTCAGTGAATAAGAAAGCTGGGAAGGTGTCTCACCGAGCAGGGCTCCTTTCTATTACAAAGGATGCAAAAGCAGTGATGAGATGCCTATCTTCTGAAAATGACCCCTGATCCCCAAGCACTCATTTGCCTAGAGGGTAGTTTAGGTCCCAAACCTGAATATGTGGTATGAACTCTGCTCCCTGTACCCCTAACCAACACAGTAACAGCAATAATGGTTAACCAGGACTGTGGGAAGGAGATCACAACCTCTCAGCTCCTTATAATTAAGGGGTATAACCAGAAAACCTTCACAAACCCTTCCACCTCTAACTTGAGTCTGTGATCTCTCTTTCTATGCTCTGCACTCAATACATCTTATATAGAACTTGCACACTTATTTTTTTGTTTGCTTTACATGTCACTTTTTTTAGTCTGAATCTCCAGTCATCTTTGACTCATCTCTCTCTGCCCTCTACTTCCAAGCAGTCACGAATGTGTCCGTTCTTCCCTCCTTTCTTTTCCTCTCCTTCCATAAGTGGGCTTTCTTACCTGACATCTCTACTGCAACAATACTCTAACTAGTGGCCTCTTGCCTTCTAGTGTCTCCAATCCAAACTGTCATATACGGAGCTGCCCGCATAAATGGTACTCCTACAGATCAAGTGCAGCCCTGGCTGAACACAGCCTGTGCTGTCAGGCTGACCTAGTTTAACCCACTCACCTTCAATACTTTCTGCACATATCTGAAAGCCATCGTCACTTGAAATTTCAAAAACAAGTCCTTTCTTGGGCTTTTTCTCAGCAATGCTTTCCTTCCGCTTCTGTTCTTGCTGGAGCCAAAGCATCAGTGGAGAGCTGAAATTACTTTCTTCTTCTTCCACCATTTTAGGTTCTGTGAGGAAAACGGGGGCCAGAGTGGATGCCACAGCACACACATACTGAGTTCTTTACACACATCATCTCTAAACCTAACAATATTTCAGAGCTGGCTTTATCATTCCCATTTACAGATAACACACCTGAGGCTCAAAGAAGTGGAGCAGCTTGCCTGAGGTTAGAGCTAGAAAATGACAAAAACAAGAATATACACACATATTTTTACATGAAGTTATACTGTCTCTCTAGTGAGTTTCTATAATCACAATCTGACCATTTTACACTAAGTAATTGCCCTCAATAGAGTCAAAGCTAAAAAACAATGGTTAACATGTATGAGGCATGCTTCCAGGAACTTTCTATATTAACTCAGATAAACCTCAGAACAATTCAGTGAGGCAGGTGTCATTATTATCTTAATTTTAAAGGTGAGAAGACTGAGATGGAGAGAGGTCAAGGAGTCCAAGTTCATACAGCTAATGTGGTAAAGCTGGGATTTCAACCTACGTGGTTCCAGAGTCTGCACTCAGCCACTACCCTTCAAACTGCCCGCTGACACAGACGTATCACTCCCCTCCAGGAATCACCAAATCAGCAGAATGTGACTACTGCCCAAACCCTATGCCCAAGCACCTTCTCTACCTGGTTTTCTTCCAGGAATCCTCTCAATGGGAAAGGGCAAAGACTTATATCCAGAGCTCTCTAGTCTTGAAGTGACTCCTTGTTTACCGATGAAATTTACCAGGACAGATGGAAGTTCTATGGAGATGTATCTGGTGTCATAACCTAAATCTGGCTATATTATATAGTAAGAATGGTTCTTGGTTTTCACTAGTGACAACTAAAGGATGGAGGCAGCTCCTTGTGAGTATTTATAGTATAGGTCTTAGTCTGCTGTTCTTTGGTCAATCACGTAGGTTTTTTAGAGTTTTGACTTCTTTTTCCTTTAATCTAGAAAATCAATAGGTGTAGAAGGCAATTTTTTAATTTTTTTTTAACATTTAGTTATTTATTTGGCTGTGCGGGGTCTTGGTTGTGACATGCAGGATCTTTAGCTGTGGCCTATGAGGTCTTAGCAGCGTCATGGGGTATCTAGTTGTCTGACCAGCGATTAAACCCAGGCCCCCTGCATTGAGAGCATGGAGTCTTAACCACCAGTGAAGTCCCAAGGTGATTTTTATAGTGCTTCTGGCTTTGAAATTCTGATTCTAACATGTTACCCACCCACATACCTGAATTTTCTTGTTCATGTGCTGGATTCTGTGTTGTCTGAATCTCAGGAAGAGCAGCCACTTGCCTACATGAAAACAAAACCAAACAGGAGATGCAATACCAGCAAGTTCTTCAATTCAAAGATAAAAACTGTCCACAACCTGCCATACAGCTGTCAGTTACACCAGACATGAACCATGGATGCTTTGTGTACAACCTGCCCAATGGACATACCACCACACTACTGTATGATACACAACATCAACTATCTTTTGAGAGATTCTTCCCCAAACACTGACATTAAGTTTCTGCTTTTGCAATTGTAGATTGTGTTCTTGAAATTCTTCTCATACCCTTAAGTGTCAGAAAAAAAAAAAAGACACTTGTTAGAAGCAGTTCTGGAGTTGCTTAAGTGAGCTAGCTGGTTTAATTAAAAACAAAAGCAGGCTGCGCGAGCCAGTAATCCACACCAGTTTTCACTTTTAAAAATTAAATAAATCATGCAAACAATCCAGATGCAGATCAACAGGAGACTAGTTAAATTACTGTAGCATCTACACAATGGACCTGGAGGCAGTCATTAAAAAATGAAGTGGCATAGAAATATGTACACAATACAATATAATAGGCGAAGAAAACAAGTACAGAATGGTATGTACAGCATTATTCATTTTATGTAAAAAAGGTATATACATATTCATGTGTACATCCTGTAAATCAATATGCACAGAAATGTTGGCATGAAATGAAAACAAATTACAAGCAACGATTACCTCTAGGCAATAAACTGAGAAGGGGGCAAGCAGGATGAATGTGGAATCTTTAATATTTAAGTAATTCTATGGTTTTTTGCAAGCATGTATTAATTCCATTAAAAAAAAATCAATACAAATCAGGAAGGACTATTTTCTAAAATGAGGTGGACAGAGCTGAAGGTTTCATCTTAAGTAACTAAGTTTTGTACTCACGCTGCAGGCTGCCCACACTCTTTCTGTGGTGACTGTTCCACACTAGCTGTATCCTGCTGCTCAGCCTCTGTTCCTGGAGTCCTGGAAGAGAATCGTTTGGATCTTTTCAGGAAAAACAACAGTAAATATGTACCCAACGTGGAGGTCAGTCTAAAGAAATGACTCTAACAGGATCACATAAAATGTATGGGCTGGGAAAACTAACCTGTGGTGATACAGGTCAGTATGTCTAACCTAGCCAGTGGCTGCCTCGAGGAGGTACTCACTTAAGAGAGGACACCAGGGGCCTTCTGGAACACTAGAAATATTTTACATTATGATCTAAATGGCAGCCTTGTGGGTGCATACCTAGGTAAAAATTCACTTGTGTACTGTACGTATATTTTAATGATAATGTTTCAGAAAAGGACATCAGGAGGATCTCCAACAGGTGGTTTTGCCCTCCAGACAGGAATAATCAATCATCCCTTAAGTCTCCTAACTGAGCCTCAGCAAAAAGAAACATGAGCAAACAGTAGCACTGTTCTAAATCAGAGCAGAGAGTGATTAAAGATGTGGTTCTGTTCACGGGACAAACTGCCATGAATGGAACTTAATATTACTCTATTAACTACCACTGTGAGAGAAAAAAAAAAAAATCAAAGCCCAGACAACCTGAGTAATGCAACTTGGGCAAAGGCGTGTCCCTCCCAGACCACTTCAACAGCCTCTAAGCCAGAGCATGAAATCCCTCAGACCCCGAGGAGCCGAGGTCCGCATCTCTCACCCTGTGACTGAGGTCTGGGGTGTCGTGTTGGCTTCTTGGTCTGGAATGTGTGCTTCAGAAGAACTGGTCCGCAATTGGGAAACTTTGTGCTTCTTGCCACTCCCTTTGTCCAAAGGCAGCGGAATCCGTTTGATTTTTGGTTTGGGTTTCGTGGGCCCCGGCACTGAGGGACTCGCTGACCGCTGTCCGGAGGATGGTGAACCCCCTGGAGAGGCGGAGCTGGCTTGCATAGCTGAGGGTAAAGTCTTGTTCTGCTCTAGGCCCATGGGATTAGGAGCATCTACTGTCTGGGTAAAGCTGGATCCCTGGGACCCTGGAGCAGAATCAAGATCCCGTTGGGAAGAGAGAACCCCAGTTTTGCTGGCGAGGAGCTGGTTCACATGGTGGAGCTGATAGTGTTCTTCTGCTTCCCCGGAAGGCGAAGCCGCTGTGACGCCCGCGGTCTGGGTAGACGGGAGCACACAGATGCTGGGTGTGGCGGTCAGCGCGCCCGTGGAGGGAGTCTGTGACGTCCCCAGTGGTGGAAACATTCCTGAACTTGGCGGTAAAGCCACAGGCTGGTCTTGAATCCCCAGGCTCTGCTGGCTGGCTTTGATTAGAAGATTGCTTATGGAGCCGATATCTGGGGTACCCAGCAACCTGGGGTTGGTTAATGCCACGTGTCCTGGAACAGATGCGCTACTTGTGGGGGCGGTGGTAGTTTGCATGGATACAACGTTCAGGACAGAGGAACCGGAGGCCAGGCCAGACACGGGTCCTGTCGTGAGGTGGCTGGTATCCTGGCTTATGGTAGCAGTGCCTGCCGCTGGGGCAGTGGTCCCCCCAACACTCTGTGGTAGCAGGGGTGCCTGTTCAAAATACATGATGCCAGATTTAGACCTTTTTATGATGTTGGGGACAGTTCGGTGAGATGAAGTATTCAGTGACCCCAAGTCTAAGAGATTGGGATGATTCGGAAGTTGGGAGGGAGTGAAGTTAATCAGTGTCATGTTGGAAACCACATCTGAAGGGGCAATGTTGGAAGGGGCACTAGAGGGGGCAAGTTTCTTATTCTTTCGGGTCTGCAGGCGAGATATGGGTCTTTTCTTGAGTCCAGAGGATGGAGTGGCTACCGTGGTACTGAGGTCTGTCCTCTGGCTGGCTTCTGAAACCAAAAGCTGGGGGTCCGGAGAAGGCTGGACCCCGATGAGTAGGCCCGAAGGAGGACTGCTGATGTTGGGGGGGAAGCTACTCTGAGTAGCGGTGGGGAAGGAATGTAAGTGCTGGTGATGAGGCATGGGGAGCAAGCCTTTGGCAGCAGGAGGGAACAAAGACTGAGATGTTGGCAGGTTCGGGTTGAGTCCTGTGGTGAGGGTGAGGCCACTTCCCATGGGCCCCAACACGGACGTGTTTGTCTCCATCACACTGGGGGCTGAACTTACAGACGAGGTCAGCTGGATTTTCTGGGTCACTCCATTCGGAAGGGTTTGGAGGACGTAGAGTGGCTGCATGTTCTGGTTAACAACAATGAGTTTCTCAGTGGCTGGTTTCAGGTGGGGCGGAGTGGTCTGGACAGCGGCATTGGAAATCTGAGACGGGCCAGGGCTATCGGTGGAGTTGGGTGCGTATTTCTGATTCTGGATAGGAACACTAGGGGAAACAGGTACCTGAAGCCCAGGGGTGCTGCTGTTTCTAGTTAAGTCCTGATTGTTGCCATGACCTTGCTCCACGGAACCACAGGGAGGGCTGGAGATGTGGTCTGCATCCATGTGACCCTGGATAAAGTGATCGGGAGTCATGTGGCCTTCGGGACTGGGGTCTACCCCTGGACTCAGCAGGGAGGAGTCACCTTCAGAGGAAGCTTTTTCTGTGATGGTTACTCTCTTCTCTCCCGAGTCTGAGATCACAGCTAGCCTACTGGAGTTCTGGCTAGGGACTGTGGGACTCCGGGTTGTCAGGACGGAGAGATCTGATGGCAGTTCTAAGGGCAACTCAAACTGCTCTTCCGCTGAGATGGAGGAAGAGACACTACTGTCCACAGGCTCCGTCGTCGGCAACTGCTGGGAAAACACTTCAAAAAGACCCATGTCTTTTTCACGATTGCTGTCAAGACCCAAGCCTTCACCAAGGTTGAGGAGTTCTGACGAAGAGGACTCTGGGCTCTCACCCAAAGCCTGCATGGACGGAGTATTCTTCAGGACAAAGTCCATAATGTCCGAGGGCAGGATGTTCCCACAGTCGTCACTGTTGTTGTTATCCGAATCTGACTTCAGGAGTTCGGTGTTATAGGTGTCCAGTAAGTTTTTGTCTGAAGGGGTGCTTGTGTGGACCCTGCGGCTTGACTCCAACGAGCTGAGCTGAGCCTCCAAGGAATCCTGTCCCTGGGCTTTCACTCTGCTCACAGAGTGGCAGTTATCCATCTTTGGCTCATTCTTGTGGCCAACTGAGCTCTTAATGACATGTTCCTTTTCCCCAGAGTCTTCAGGCCGATCCATCTTCAAGTTCTCTGTTCCGTTTTCTTTACTGTTTCTTTTTGGAATCTGGCTGCTCTTCCGAGTTGTGGCTGTGACACTGGTATCGCTCTCTGTCCCATCATCGACGCCATCCAACTGTGAGATTTTTGGAAGATCACACTGTTCTTCCTCCCGAAATAAATTATGGGGTGTCAGCCGTTCCTCTCCACCTGAAGAAATCACTGTCCTAGAGAAGTTGTAATAATATAAGTCGTCTTCGTCTGAAGTGCTCAGGTCGTCCGCCCCGTCCACCTGTCCTTCAGCGGACCTCTTGCCTCGCTTCTTCCCAGTTGAGCTGCTGTAAAATGGAATGTCTTCTTCGCCATAGGACCTTACTCCATAGAGTGGGGTGAGCCCAAAGAACATGTTAGAGCGTGCCCGGGCACTGCGGCGGGGGTATCTCCTCTTGAAAGAGCCATCTTCCTGAGGTTTGGGGCCATCCGGAAGCATCAGGTTTCTGTCCTGTACTGGAAGATTCTGATAGTTGTTACTTTGAGAATCCTGGGATGAGGTATTATTGGGGCTTGGTTGGGCCACAGGGCCATCTCCTGGGCTTTCTGAGGCAGAAACCGGTTCTGTTGGAGACACAGACTCTATCTGCAAAGGGGAAACGGGACTACTTTCTTTCAGGGTGTTCTTGGACTGACCCTCACTCTCCATTTTGAGAGGTGTCAGTGTTACTTTAACTGTGCGTTTCCGGGGCGTCTGTACTTCCTTCGCAGACCCTTCCACTTGCATGGGTGGAGCTTTGGGGACTCCTGGAATAGGATGGGCTTTGTCCCCAATCTTCTCAGAAGAAACATTATTACATGGTCGTTGCCCCATGAAATCAGGAGTCAACACTTCATCAACAAACTCTGGCTTTAGGTTTCCTTCCTCACCAGTTGCCACCTGACCAGGTTCCAAGAAAGGTTTACTGGAATGCTTTTCTTTGAAAGTTTCTTTACAAGATTTTTTCCCTTTCTGTCTCCTATCTCTGGAGCTGGCTCCCACGTGTTCATTGACAATGGATGACCTGCTGCTCACTCCAGACAGTTTCAAGCTTTTGACTTCGGCATCTTCATCAGGACTGGGGTTTACCGACTGGCTGCCATTTGTCTGCTGGTCTCGCTCGTTTCTCTGCCCTCTCAGATGGAGCGGTGGGAAGGGGAGGCCCTCTTTAGAAGAAAATGGCACTGAAGAAAGGTCAGCAAAAGTGCCCATTTTATTAACAGTTAATTCTCCAGCTGCTGCATTATGAACCTGTGGGGCCAGTTTCGGAATGCCAGGGTAACCAACATTATGGGCCGATCCCTCTGAGTTCTTGGAACTCAGCATCTTGGTCTTCTCTGCCTTCAAAGAGGAGCTCTTGGATGTCAAGTCTGAAGCACTGGAATGCTTCGTTTCTAAAGAGGAAGAGCCATCCAAGTGACTGGTTTTAGTGCCCACAGTAACCGCTGTCCTTTGCAAATTTGAAGAGGTGGGAGTGTTCTGCCCTAAATTAGTATTAGAATTCAGTGGCCCTAAGACATGATCAACCGCTTTGGCACTTGACTCAAGATCTGCAGTGGTCCCTGTGATGGAGACAGAGGAAACACTATTCCTGGAGTAAGTGCTCCCAGTTCTCATTGGAGACATTATCCGGAGTTTAGACCGCTGGGGTGACAAGGAAGAAGTACTGTGACGCCTGGAGCCAATACTTCGAAGTCCAGAGGAGAGTAAAGGGTCACCCACTGTGACTATTTCATGAGTGGTTGGGGTAGGGCTTCCTAAATGAAAGAGAAAAAGTAACAAAATCTGTTACAGATAGGATAAATGTGTTGTAGTCTCTGGTTTCAATGACTTGGCTATGTATGTTAACAGGTAACAGAAAATCAACACTTTCAATTGGCAAATGTCATTAAGATAAAGTTGCCTGAAAGAATTACAAACTAATCTTGAGCTGACCTTGTTGGGTCGAGTAGGTCAGTGAAGTCCTTTACCTGCAGAAGGCAGTGGTCGACAGCCAGGAGATCTCTGTGTTGGAGAATAGCTAGGTGTTCGAATCCTAGGAACCTTTGAGATGACATGATAGAAACAGGAACCAGAGGTTTGGGAATGAGGAGGTCGATCTGGTGATGGAGGACTTACAATTTCTGCTGTGTTTTGACTTTCCTTAGGTGAAATTTCTGTGGCAAGAAATAAAAACTCTTACTAAAAAAGTTTAATTAAAAAAAAAATCAAACAAATGAGCCAAGAAAAAGCCAGCTATCAGATAAATACCAAAACAGAAACAAATGCCACCTCACAAAGCAATGCCTTTTCCCTACCCTTCAATCACAGTATTCCCTCAAATCAAATTCAACTCCCAACTTTTTTGCAAATAAAATGAAAAGATAATCCTCAGAATGGGAGAAAACATTTCCAAATGAAGCCACTGATAAGGTATTAATCTCCAAAATATACAAACAGTTCATGCTGCTCAGTATCAAAACAAACAAACAATGAAAAAATGGGCAGAAGACCTAAACAGGCATTTCTCCAAAGAAGACACACAGATGGCAACTCGCACATGAAAAGATGCTCAACATCACTAACTATTAGAGAAATACAAATCAAAACTACAATGAGATATCACGTCACACTGGTCATAATAGCCATCATCAAAAAATCTACAAATAATAAATGCTGGAGAAGATATGGAGAAAAGGGAACACTCCTACACTGTTGGTGGGATTATAAATTGGTACAGCCACTGTGGAGAACAGTATGGCGGTTCCTCAAAAAAAAAAAAAACAAAAAAATAGAACTATCATATGACCTAGCAGTCCCACTCCTGGGCATATACCTGGTGAAAACCATAATTCAAAATGATTCATGCACCAGTGTTCATTACACCACTATTTACAATAGTCAGGATATGGAAGCCACTTACGTATCCATCAACAGAGGAATGGATAAAGAAGATACAGTACATACATACAATGGAACATTACTCAGCCATTCAAAAGCAACGAAACAGTACCATTTACAGAGATGCGGATAGACCTAGAGACTGTCATACAAAGTGAAGTAAGTCAGAAAGAGAAAAACAAATACTGTATCACTTATATGTGGAATCTAGAAAAATGGTACAAATAAATTTATTTGCAAAGCAGAAATAGAGACACAGAGGTAGAGAACAAACCAAAGGGGGAAGGGTGTGGGATGAATTGGGAGATTGGGATTGACATATATACACTACTATATATAAAAAAGATAACTAATAAAAACCTACAGCATAACACAGGAACTCTACTTAATGCTCTGTGGGGATCTAAATGGGAAGGAAATCTAAAAAAAGAGGGGGGATATATGTATACCTATAACTGATTTCACTTCCATGTATGGCAGAAACTAATACAATATTATAAAGCAATTATATTCCAATAAAACATTTTTTAAAGAGTAACCTGCAAAAGACGGTGGACTGTGAGCGATGGTCCTGTTTTCATCATGTTCAACAGTGCTGTTGATATCTGGCTCTACCACCGGAGGACGGCACTCGACGATCTTGCATGTGTACACACAGCGCTTGCGGGCATCCGTGGTGCTCCAGTACACCCGGGAACACCTGCACGCAGATGGTGACGATCACCGTCAGTGAGAGGACAGAAGGAGATACTGAGTCTGTCAAAACCTCTTCTCAGCCAAGGTTCCCTGGCCTCCTTGATTTACAGAATTTAGCTTTCTTTCATGGATTCTTATTAGAGAGTCCCCTAGTTAACGGGTTTTCTGAGTTTTTTGAAGTTCTTGATTTTTTCCTGCAAACAGCATCAAATCTTTTTTTATTGTGTTGTAAGCAGGGGAAAAATTAGTAAAATATCCTAAAATGCAAAGAAAAAAACCACTATTACAAGACATAGTTATGGGCTTTTTTAGGAAGGGAAAACTGGCCCACAATGTATACAAAGTGAGGCAAGATCACACCTGGCATGTTTCCTTTGCAAGAAAAGCCCCATGAGACAAGAGAAACGTAACTGCTTTAAGTCAGCTAGATAATGGTGGACCCTAGTGCTTTACACAAAGGGCTGCCAGCTAGATGTGGAGCAGAGACTGTTGACAGAACTGAAATGCAGAATAAACTGGTGCATATATAGAACAAATGAGACTCCAAAGGGGAAGAGAAAAGGAGTTTTAAATTTATATTGTCAGTTTGCTAGAAGTTTAAACAATTTGCTGCTGTGGGAGATTATAAATTCTTACTGGAGAATCTGATTGTTATTGTGGGGGTTTATATTTTCAGAAGGACCAATAAAATGTAAAATGTAAAAGGAGGACAGAGGCATAAGGTGTTTGATGCCTGACAACAAACTGGACTTATGAACTGAGGTGAATGGAATTTAGTGGATTCTTAAAGGAGACTGACCTGGTGTTTTCTACTTAGGTTTTATTTGGAAGTGGTTCTGAAATTATGTCAACAACTCTTTCCTTCTACAATTGGATCTAGCTGACATAAACGATACCTGAGTCCCAATCTACAAGATATGGCCAAAAAAAAAAAGCAGTTACTTAAAAATTGCTAACAAGTATGGCTCTACATCAAATGACCTCTGCCTCAGGGTGTTCACGTGGTAGGGCTGCTGTCTTCTCTCCACAGAATTACTTACTGATATCCAATAGGGAAGAGCTTATCCTCACAGTCAGAGAGATCATTCAGAATCCCTAAGCAGTCAATTGTCATGGAGCCTGAGTAAGGAAAGAAGAAGTGATTAGAGGTGACTATGAGAAGGCCCACTTTGTAACTGAAGACTTAAGTACCTCAGTGATACAGCCAGCCTCCCCAACAACCAAGGCCCATGTCCTACCAATCATCATGTGGATATTTTCTGGTTCTAATCCATTGAGAAACTTCCTTCTCAAGCTGATTCCTTCAAAGTCCACAAACACTCTTCTAAAAACTTCAAATCCATTCTCAGGAACCACCTTAAATGAAAGGCCAGGGTAGCTGTTAGGCTCTCCTTTATACACTATTCTCATGATATTGACTCGGCAGGAAAGACAAGGCATATCTCTAAATCACTCTTCTGTTTCACTAGCAGTGCCTGTGATAACTCTCCCAAGAGGAGGTGATTCTAGGAGCACCTAGTAGGAAGGTGTAATAAAGCTCACCACCTTGCTATTAATATTTTCAGCCTCTTTCCCCAGAGAATTCAAAAAGCAACTAAAGCTCACCTCGCCTTTGATCAAATCCCGATGTCGTTGGCAATACACTTTTTTATCATCCAGAAACACACAGTTCTTGGCTCGGGAACACATGAAGTGATAGTTGCTGGTGCAAGATGTGAGGCAGCAACCCACAGTGGCTCCTGGCTTTTGGCAGAATTCACATCTCTAACAATCCAGAAAGAACAGAGTCTGAGTCAGACTTTCAGATGTTTTAGCCATTCTCCAACTTCTCTACAGAGTCACCCCATTCTGGGTTTCCCACAGTTCATTTTGTTATTATAATCTGCTGAATTACAGAGAAGTGATATAAGCCATAAAGCCTCCTCTACAAATCCTTTCTTTCCCACAGCCCATAGGGCCTAGAATGATTAAATTTATTATTATTATTTTTTAGAATGATTAAATTTAAATATGATGACTTGCTTAAGAACCTGCATCAAAACAGGTTTTTCTAAGATGCACAATTGATTCAGAGAAAATGAAACTTTGAACATCATTGTTAAAAAACATCATCTTGGAAAAAAGCTATTATATCCAAAAGAACTCAGTTCTAGAACAATTATACTAGTCAGAAACATAGTGGTTCTTAATTTAGGCTTAACTGATGAATTTATATGATGCAAAGATTTTCTTCAACCAGGCTGTATGTTACCACCTCATTCTGTCACAGTCACAATCTGGGCTCCTCTCCAGGGAAGACTTTTTCTTTGTGCCCTCCACACATTTTATTTACATTTCTTAGGCATGTGCTATTTTTGTTGCTTTCTGATAATCCTTCATTTTCTCTCCTCCTTCAAAACACAGCTTTAAAAATTCTACTCCTTCATGGCCTTTTCTGATTACTCTCAGCTGCTACTAATCACTTTCTACAGCCCCTCTCTGTGTATGTACTTTGTGGGTTTATCCTAAGGAGCCTCAGAGTGCTGATTCAACTGGAACCTTTGAGGTCATTTTGTCTAAACCACTTAAATGAATACCTTTCCTGAGCATCTGAATTATCTCTCTAACCAGATAAGACTATTTCCTATTTCTTTTGCACCCATCCTCCAAGGGTCAGAATAGCAATCTGCCTACAATGCACACCAATATCTGCTGCTGGCTAAACCATTCTGAAGGCACCAAGAGAAACATCAGCGAGGCAGCACTGAGCCTCAGAAAGAACATCTGGAAACTGAGAGGGAGTCTTTTCCGTGACATTCACCCACAAGTTCTTACCAGCTGCTTGCCCCTGATCACAGCCATATGCACATTCTTTAGTGATCCATCATCATCTTCAAACACTTCTGCTGACCACAAAGCACAATTTACATGTGTCCATTCATTTTGGCCAATGTAAAGCAAACGGCCAGCATCCTGTGAAACAAAGAGATTTCCTTTTTTCTTTAAAGAATGTAACATCAAATAGGGTTTTCCTTGGCATTGGCTTTACCTGAGTCAGGATAACTTCAGTAAATCAATTCAAAATCTTTAACTCAGGGATGCAAACAAAAATCACACTTCGAAGTTTCTTTTCACTTTTCAACTCATTACCTTTTCCACAGACTGGAAATATTTTATAAAGAATTAAAAAATAAGCAATGTGATAAGTTTATAGAAGTGCCCACTGACTTCTTTAAAACCATTTTTCAAAGCCAGTTCTCTCAGCTTGCATTAAAAATGTTTAAAAAAAAAATTATAAGCTTACTATGTGCCAAGCAGGCCCTACAAAAGGCTTTACATACATTATTTCCTTTAATCCTCGTAACCATTCTGAGGTAAGAATTATTATCCTTATTTAAAAAAATGAAACTGAGGGTCAGAGGTTAAGCTCCTTGCCAAGGTCAACAAGTAGGCAGCCAAGCACAGAAGTGAATCCAGGCAATCTGTCAGAACCAGGAATCTTAACCACACTGCTAACTACATTAGAGACAGCTATTTAATGTGCAACTTCTATTTTATTGACTCTCATAAAAGTCTTTTTTGAGAAACTGCCTATAGAAGTTTATGAGAAATCAGCATATTAATATAAGGTAAGTCATCTTTTAAATCAACTAAATCAGTTATAGAAAAAAATCCCAAGTACCACAAACTAAGTGACAAATATTCATTTTATTCATTAAATAAAAAGTCTAAACTGGTAACCAAGTTTAGACACAAATAGTTCACCACAGGTTAGCCTATTAAGCACAACTCAGTGCACCAGGGTACTTACGTTAGCACTGTCGTCACCATAGGTCAAACACAGTGCACACTGTCTGTTATCTTCTATGCCTGGGGGTGGGTTCAGTTCCGGACTATCTTCTCGGCTCCTATCAGTACCTTGGAACCCAAAAGACATCCAGTTAAAACTGTTAATACATGTAAAAAAAAAAAAAAAAAAAGATACACTATGGTTGTGAAAAAAAAAAAAAAAAAAAAAAAACTGTTAACACCATGTCTGATTAAGCAAAAAAAAGAAAACAATATAGCTTAAATAGTCTATAGCCTATGAAACACTTTCAAAGTAATGCTATCTTACTATCTGCTTTCTGTTACATTACTTTTATCAATTCTCTGGTAACATTCTAAGTGAAACAAAAATGATTTTATTACATTTAAGGAGCACCTGGAAGTTTTCCAGTATGGAATTACATTAAATTTAGATTCACAAAGTCAATCATTTGCACTTAGAAATGGATAGCAAATCTTCATTTGGTGTCTTACTCAAAATTGGTGGTGTAGGAGGATGTAGAGGAGTTGGTGAGTCTGGTTCTCCAGGCCCTTTAGGTTTGGGAGCTGGAATGATTTTCTTCATTAAAGGAGGTTGCTCAGTGTGGCTGTTTTCCTCTCGCTCCTGCCACTGAGCATAATTATGGTCAAGTGAAGGTGGAAGCACTGCATTTGGTAACATCCCACTGCTGGAAACAATCGATTCAACAAGTATTTATTGAACTCCTACAAGATACCCAAAACTGAACAAAACAGTTAAATTCTTGCTATCATCAGGGCTTGAGCCTGTGCAGTATATAAGAACAAATCAGAGAATTTGAAAACCGCCTACACAGGACTTTATTATTTTTAAAAACAAAATCCTGATGTATTGTGACTCTTAGTTAAACTTCTAGAAACAAATGATAACCCTGAAAATCAAAAGGATTTACTGGAATAAATAGAAGTTTAAGGTTAAATATGGAGAATCAGAAACTGTTGAGAGCATCATTTGAAGTAAATGAAATAGAACGTAGTTATAATTAGCCCAATTACTAGGATATATATAGTACATGTGCTGTACATATGCCACAAGTTCCCTAAAACATAACAAATACATAAAGAAGAAAAAGGCAACAGATTACAATAAACAGTCAATGTTGTCTCTAAACCAGCAATAAAAAGGAATTTAACTGATTAATCTTCAAAAATAAAACTGAGTCTAAAATAAAACCTACATCTAAAAAGATAAGAAAACTCAGATTTCTGATGAGGAGAAAAAAAAGTAATAACTGAATTTACTCACTTGCTTGATACTTTATTTGGCTCCCAAAACCTGGACTTTTTGACACTGAACCATGGAAAAACACGTTCCATTTGCTAACAGAGAAATAAACAAAATGTAAGCATGTGACCATTCATTTGGAAAGCACATAAAAACTAACAACTTCACACCAGCTTCTTTGTCAATATAAGGAGGATTTCAGGCCACACCAAGAGAAAGTCCATCCTCTCTGGGACCTCACTAATCTCCTCCCCAAAAATCAGAGGAACTAATTAAACCAAGATAATTTATACACATGGCAAAGCAAAACACAGACAAGAACAAGCCTGTTCTGTTCCTGGGGTAACAACTCACAGATTAAGTATCAAAGACATGAACTATTAATATCATTCACCCGAATAAAGAAGGACTTGACCATGCTGTTGGCTTTTTTAATCTCTGGCTGCCCTCCATCTGAATTAATGGCTGCTTGAATGATCTTCACGATATCGTCGCTGAACTCCAACTGTATACAAAAACAAAGTATTAATATTCATAGAATAGTGTGCTCTCAAAATCATTTCTTTTTCCTTCCTAACTCATCCAGCAAAGACATTCAACAGCAAACGGACACCCTAATTTAATATGGTATCATTTCTCTTTAGTGGAGGCCTCTGGGATTTAGTTCACAGTTAACTTGCAGCAATCAGGAGATGCCAGACTAATAAGGCAAGAATGCAAATAAGTTAGCTGTATAATGGTAAGTTATCCACACTGGGCCATGATTTTTCACTTAGACTGAAATGAATAAACAAATGAACAGTGGATATGAGACAACAGATCATTTCCTACTCATTCTTCAAACCATAAAATTAAAAGACTTCTATCTTCAAATAAACATCCAATGTAAAAAGACACATTATTCAGGTGTATCTCACAAGAGGCAAACCCACTAACTTCACATCAGCGTTTCTGCATAAACAGTTTTAATATAAAAATAACCTTAAAAGAACTCAGATGAAAGTCAAATAAAAAGACGATACCCTCTCTATCATAACCCGTCTTCCAAAATACAGAACTAAAACAACACACGTATTTTTTATTTTTTAATGCTAATAAATCATCTTTCAGTGCTAACATCCAGCTTCATCCCTAGAAAGACTCAAGGAAGCTAAACTGGCACTGGAAATTTGGGTAGTTTGCTGTACAGACATACCACAGATGTGTAGTTCCCTTGGTCCATTTTCCTCTTGACTCCTTCCAGATCTAAAGGCTGTTGATCTTCCTGTTTGCTGACCTCAGTGAGCACTGGTGGATCAGGTCCTTCTGGGGAGCTGCGGGAAGGTATACTCTCCTCTGTCTCAGGATTTAAGTCCGGAGGTTTGGCAGCCTGTTGTCAGGAAATAAAAGTTTATTTTATCTAACACTGAAAATGAGGTATACCCATAGAAATTCTATTTAAAAAATTAACAGAGACTGGAAAAGCAAAGACATCACTTTGCTGACAAAGGTTCATATAGTCAAAGCTATGGTTTTTCCAGTATTCATGTACAGATCTGAGAGTTGAACCATAAAGAAGGCTGAGTGCTGAAGAACTCGTGCTTTTGACTTGTGGTGCTGGCTAAGACTCTTGAGAGTCCCTTGGACAGGAAGGAGATCCAACCAGTCAATCCTAAAGGAATCAACCCTGAATATTCATTGGAAGGACTGATACTGAAGCTCGAATACTTTGGCCACCTGATGTGAAGAGTCATCGGAAAAGACCCTGAGGCTGGGAAAGATTGAAACAGGCCAAAGGAGAAGTGGGCAGCAGAGGGCAAGATGGTTGGATGGCATCCCTGACTCAATGGACATGAATCTGAGCAAAGTCCAGGACACAGTGAAGGACAGAGAAGCCTGGTGTGCTGTAGTCCACGGGGTAGCAAAGAGTTGGACACGATTTAGCAACTGAACACCAACTGGATGATGCATATTATAAAAACCCAAAGAATTTGAAAATAATCAGAGATTTCTCAAACAGCAGAAAAGGAAAGTTAAAATGAGCCAGCTATCTAATAGCTTGGCTAGGCTAACTCAGGAGCTTTGCTTGGTAACTCCCAACCTAGTATGAAGAAACAGAAACTGTCTAACTCCTTTTGAGTAAGACAGCAGCTAATTTTCCTATTTAAAAAATAGACTTTATTAAAAGATAAAGCAGGACTTCCCTGGTGGCTTGGTGGTGAAGAATCCACCTGCCAATGCAGGAGACACGGGTTCAGTCCCTGGACTGGGAAGATCCTACACGCCACGGAGCAACTAAGCCTATGCACCCCAACTATTGAGCCTGTGTTCTAGAACAGAGAGCCACGACTGAGCCCATGTGCTGCAGCTACTGAAACCTGCATGTCTAGAGCCTGTACTCCACCATAAGAGAAGTCACTTCAACGAGAAGCGTGTGCCCCGCAACTGGGGAGCAGCCCGTTTGCTACAAACACAGAAAAGCCCATGAAGCAATACAGACCCAGCAGAGCCAACAACAAATAAATACATAAAATTATTTTTAAAAAAGAGAGAGCAGCGGCTTAGCTCTGAGTTAAAAGTTAGCTATGCGGTTCTTCCAACATTATACCTGTGTTCCCAATGATGAATTTATGTATAGTTCATGACTTGAATGGACAAAACATACTGATTTTCAAATTGTGTCCTGAGGAGTCCCGGAACTGTCTTAGAGCCGAAAGGCCTCTGGCCCCACTACCACCCTTGTAGATCAAGCCACCACCCTGCTCCCTCTTACCTAAAGCACTATACCTGCCTCCCAACTATGGCTCCCACCTCTAGGCTCAGTCCTCGCCAATCTTCCATCTCACTCAAGTCATTGTTACAGGGTTTTTTTTTCCTCCCCTAAAAAGCAACCTAGACAGCATATTAAAAAGCAGAGACATTACTTTGCCAATAAAGATCCATCTAGTCAAAGCTATGGTTTTTCCAGTAGTCATGTACGGATGTGAGAGATGGACTATAAAGAAAACTGAGGGCCAAGGAAATGATGCTTTTGAACTGTGGTGTTGGAGAAGACTCTTGAGAGTCCCTTGGACTGCAAGGAGATCCAACCAGTCCATCCTAAAGGAGATCAGTCCTGGCTGTTCATTGGAAGGACTGATGTTGAAGCTGAAACGCCAATACTTTGGCCACCTGATGTGAAGAACTGACTCATCTGAAAAGACCCTGATGCTGGGCAAGACTGAAGGCAGGAGGAGAAGGGGCGACAGAGGATGAGATGGTTGGATGACATCACCGACTCAATGGACATGAGTTTGAGTAAACTCCGGGAATTGGTGATGGACAGGGAGGCTTGGCGTGCTGCAGTCCATGGTGTCACAAAGAGTCAGTCACGACTGAGCGACTGAATTGAACTGAAAAAGTAACTCTCATCAGGTTACTCTTTTGAGTGAAGTCCTTCATTGATTCCCCATAGCCTTCATAATACAAAGTTCAAATTTCGTATTACAACAGCCAAGACCTCTGAAAGAGACACGGCCCCTTCCTTCTTTGTACCCCAGAGAAGCGTTTTACTCTTTGTGTTAAAGTTTTTCTCACTGGCCTAAGGCCAAAACAAGGAACTCTACAAATCTAAATGAAGAATGAAGCAAAAGAAAACAAATTGAGAAGCACACAGACACAAAAACCAACACACTCCACGACTAGGTAAAAACGACCAAAGAACAAGCTCTCAGGATATAGAACGATACCTGGACCTACCTGTCGGTAGCGTAGCAGGTGGCTGGTGGTCCGAGAATTCAACAAGGCTGTCAGTACTTGCTTCAGCGAGATCTGGAGCTCTTTCTCAAGGGCCAGTCGCCACTCCGCAGGGTGCCGCTCTGTGCAGTTCACACACGTGTAGGCCACACTCTCTGGCAGATTAGACAGAATCTCATACATCTCATCTGGGGAGACAAAAACCTACAGTGACAAGGTGCTCTCAGAGTGGAAAAGGGGGAAAAGAGGAAGTTATCCCACTGAACTTAACATCGGGCTGTATGTTAGGAACGTTATTAAGTCTCTCACACCCCCTAAGAACACATACGTATTAATCTCCAAAGGGACAGTATTACCACTAATTCAGGATTCAGCTATTGGAGAGCCAAAAGGTTATGGTATCCACAAAAGACAACATTTAATTATTTTAAAGAATATGTTCAAAGTAAATGAGCACAATGTAATACAATGATCTTATTTTAGAGACAAAAAATAAACTTAAAAAGACTTCAAGTAACAGCACAATTGTAATGTTATATTTATAGTACTTTGGGGCTACTAGTGCAGTGTACCAAGAAAGAAGGAAATTGTAATAAAAAGACTCCAACCTTCTGTACCTGAAAGATTCTCACATTTGGAATGGACCCATCGATCACATTTCCCACATTGCATCATCTTACTCTCATAGTCATCATCATCGTAACACTTATCACAGAGAGGGCAGAAGTTTCCTGAAAGCAAAGCAAAGTTTTCAGCAGTGCTGTGGTTCACACACCAATGCCTCTAACACCCTCGACTCACATACGACCAATCTGATCTAAAATGTAAGCCACGACAGTCTGCTTCTGAAACTACTTACAAATGCCAGCCTTCATCTACCATGAAATGTTCACACATCTGTAAAGTGTCAAGATTATTCTGAGCTCACATAATATTCCACTAGTTCTCTTCTTTAGACCCATTTTTAAAGGTCAAAAGGTAGCTTTTATAGATAACAGAAAAATAATGGAAGACAGAGCTTTCTCTCTTAAACATTCCAAAGAAATGTTTAAATTTTTTTTAAAAAGAGGAGAAGGTAATGGGAGTAAAAAACACAGTTAATTTACACTTCTCCCTTATTCCTAGTGCTTTTACATTAGAGTTTAGAGCAGTGCTTCCTAAAATTCAGAAAAGTATACAACCTTCATCAGTTTGTTTTATCTGTGTATCATCTATTATTTTTTACTTAATATACAATATTGATTTGCTTAATTTAAGTAACTTCAAAAGTGAACTTTATATCATTATTATCCTAAGTCAGTTTAATGTATTGGCTATTATCTTTTTCAAGCACAACTGTTAAAATCCTGGACTCAGTACCACCTAAAATCATTTCTGAAACAATGAAATGTGTATTTACCCCACTTTGGGAAGTAATGCTTTAGAGCATTTCTCTGTGGTGAGTTACTATAAACAATCCCCTTTGCAACCAATTAAGCAGACTGTGCTCTTCTCCCCACAGGGGCCCCGTGTACAAGGGCTGCACACAGCAGCCTCCATAGGAGTGTAGGCAGCCTGTCACCTGTACAGGTTGCCCTAAAGAATCTTAGAGACAGCCCTTTCCAGTGGACATTCATGACTAGCATGTTGTCCCCAGTCCATGCTCCATGCTCCAGTATCCGGAGTCTCTGGAGAGCCCCAAGGCACAGTGCCCAGGGTCCACATCGGCCAATTATAATGTCCATCTGCCCCAAGCTGCAGAATAAGGAGCCTGTGATTGAGGCCCTCTGCAGGGCCAAGTTCAAGTTCCCTGGCTGCCAGAGAGCCACATCTCTAAGAAGCAGGGATTTATTAAGTATAACAGGGATGAATTTGAAAGCATGGTTTCAAATGTTTTTCTGTTTCTCGACTGAACGGCTCTTCTTCCTCAAAAGCAGCTTATCACAGACGGCTGTGGGGGGGGGGCGGGTCAAATACATCCCTAATTGTGGCCCCTTGGATAAATGGCGGGTCTTGCAAGCATGACAGCCTTGGCGGTGTCCCATCCTTACTCATGCCCACCAGTAAATTCAAATTTCCTGTCCAAAAAAAAAGTCCCCTTAATTCACGCCCTGAAAGTTAAGAAAACCTTTCTAGTTGCTACAATTCCGTGTGTAAAGAAAAGAGCAAGACCAGGAACTCAGGAAATGTGTCTAAATGGCATCCTTGACAAGAATGGTCCTTCCACTGCAATGCCCACTTCACCTCCCAAACACTAAGACCAACCTCTAAAAGCTGACAAAGCGAGCTTTTCTGAGTTACCTTTAGCAAAGAGTTTGGCACAATCATGGCACAGTGAGAAATCGTGAGACCACTGTGCATCCCACCCTTTGCCGGGAGTCGTGGATCCACAGCTCTTGCAGCGAACACACTTGGTACAGATCTGGAAGAGATGCAAAGTCAATCGGAACTTCTTATTTTTAATAGCTCTTCTCTTTAAGAAGATCTTGAAGAAATCCATTTCCAGAGTTGATTTCTCGACTAGAACGGCTCTTCTCCCCTCAAGCAGGATGGTCCTCTTACAACTTGTGTAAGCCCGGCAGCCCAGCCCCAAGACAATTCTTGAAAGTTCACATTGTGTATACTCACCCAAACCTTCTTTTTCTTTGTGGGTTTGGTGGGGTAATTTGGTCCCAGGCACTCAGGGTGATAGCTGTTTCGGCACTTGTTACACTCCAGCAGCTGCTGTAGGAAAATAAGACAGCAAAACGGTGGATGTCATCTCACCTCCACTTAGTACCCATTTCATACTACTCAGGTAAATCCAGCACATCACTGTAACAGTTTAAATTTCCTCATAAATTACTCTCAAGGCATAGGGATTTATTTCCTGCCAAAGGTACTCAGTGATAAACATTTTGACGAAGCAGGTTTGAGGATTTTATCAAATACCACATTTTCTTCTATATTGATGGCAACTGATTACACTGGGTTAAACAGTCAAACCAGACTAAGCCAACAGAGAAAAAATATAGATACAAAATTCTAAATTAAAAGGCAGAAATGAAGACAGAGAGTAATACACTAAGTGATTCCATCACCGAGCTTTGTACCTTTGTAGCCTGATGCTGCCTCCCACAAACATGACAAAACTTGCAGCGGCGACAACACCAGTTTTCCAGCTGGTCCTCCAGAGGGCGCTCGTTCTCCTCCAAACAAAACTTGTGGAAGGGCTCACAACAGACTTGGCAATACACAAACTAGGGTAAGACAGGAGTATACAGGTTATCAAATACCATGCAGAAAAATCAACCAAATCCTACCTGCTTATTTTGACCTTTAGAAGTTCAGCAATATATACTTTTTATTCAATATGTTCACTAAGCAATGATTACATTAAAAAAAAAGGAGAATAGTGGGAACTGCAGGAGCTTCAGAGGACTAAAGTAGTAATAATAAAATTATAAAATAACTAAGCAGGGACTTCCCCGGCAGTCCAGTGGCTAAGACTTCGCACTTGCAAGGCAAGGGGCCCAGGTTCCATCCTTGGTCAGGGAACTAGATCCCCCATGCCACAACTAAGAGTTCAGGTGCCACAACTAAAAACTCCTGCATGCTGCAACTAAGACCCAGGGCAAATAAATGAATAAATATGTACAAATAAAATAAAATAATTAAATAGATATATAATCTAAAGATTTAATAGACTGTGCTAAGTACCATAAAAGAAGTTATCAATAAAGCACTAAGGCAATGTAAAAGAGTGTGGTACGGGGAAATAGGGAGGGTTTTAAGGGTTTTCTACAACCTACTAAACAACTGTAAGTTCTGATTTGTCCTTCCCATCTCTTATTTTAGAAACATGTTACTCTCATTCTGAAACAGGGATTTTCAAAAATTCAAATGAGGGTGACTCATAATTTTCTTTTGCCATAAAAGATTTAGTGGGTCAAAACTATAAAGTCTACTTAGATAACTATAACATACCAATGTTAATTTCCTTATTTGTATAATTATACTGTGATTATATAAAAGGATGTCCTTGGAAATACACCGTGTAACATTTAGAGGTTTTTAAAAGGGCATATGTCTGCAACTTGCCCTCAAATTTAAGAAAAAATGTCTACATGTAAAATATATATATTTTATTTCTTATTCTGTAAAATACACATACAAAGAGAAAAGGATAAGGTAAATTAAGAATATTGTTTGGAGAATCCAGGTACAGGGTATATGGAAATTCTTTGTACCACTCTTGCAGCTTTTCTGTAAATCCGAAATCATGTCAATAGAAAAGGTTTCAATGGTGGGAGAGTTCACCAATCACTGATTGTGCTTTAGGAGTGCAGTGCGAGCAGTGGGCTGTTCATTTGCTAATTCAGTTTTTAGGAATCCTGCGGGACTGCTTTGCACAGCTATACAATTTAAATTTGAGCAATTATACTCTGCGAAAAAAAAGCAACCTGTTTTAACACAGAAGCTGAAGTACTGGTATTACGAAAGTAAGTTAGTCCTGTGGGGAGCATGTGTGTGCATGTAAAGCCTTGAACTGAGTAGGAAAAGAGATACAGTAGATGCCTGGCACTTACAGATTGAATAGTCTTAGTTTCAATGCTATCTAAAGCAACCTCAGCACTTAGAACAATATGTTTTTTGTAACAGGCACTAAGAAAATATTTCCTTAAAGAATGAATTGGTGTTATTCAGTCACTGAGTTGTGTCTGACTCTTTTGCGACCCCATGGACTGTAGCCTGCCAGGATCCTCTGTCCATAGGGTTTACCAAATAAGAATACGGGAGGCAGGTTGCCATTTCCTTCTCCAGGGGATCTTCCCGGACCAGGGATTAACACTGCATCTCTTGCATTGGCAGCCAGATTCTTTACCACTGAGCCACCAGGGAAACAAAGAATGAATGTGCTGTGCTGTGTCACTCAGTCACGTCTGACTCTTTGCAGTCCCATGGATTAGAGCCTGCCAGGCTCCTCTGTCCATTCGGATGCTCCAGCCAAGAATACTAGGATGAGTTGCCATGCCCTTCTCCAGGAGATATTCCCAACCCAGGGATCGAACCCAGGTCTCCTGTATTGCAGGCAGATTCTTTACCATCTGAGCCACCAGGGAAGCCCAAAGAATGAATACCAGGCAATAATTTGTAATTTTGCTAATGCATTATTTAAAATAGCAAGTGGGCAGGGCTGAATCTCTTAGCCAGTGATTGTTCAACATCTGGATTACAACTTGGCTTTAGGTTTTATGACCTCAGAATACATATGAGATAATAAGCTAAGGAGGTATTCAGGTACAGAAATACATGAATGAAAATATTACTCTTTCCTATTTAGAACTGTGCTATCTTTTTCTCCTTTATTGTACAGGTAGCAAATACTCACTGCGAAAACACTCAAAAAAATAAAGAAAATAACAAAAGTCACCAATAATCTGACTACATGCTTAAGATTCTGGTGTAATTCGTTCAGAATTCTTCCTATGTATATATTTCAAAAATATTTTTCCAAACCAAAATCGGATTGTGCTTTACATACTATTTTGTGACCTGCTCTTTTAACTCAGTGGTGTGTCATGGACATCTTTCCATGTCACTATGAACCTGTATTACCTTAAGGACGTCGTACCTGCCTCTATGTGCATGTCTCATGACTATTTTAACCAAGGCTGCAGCCCCTTATTGACAACTTCTGGAGTTGTCTCCAGTTTTCCATTATCATAAATACTGAAAAAAGCTCTTGTTTATCAAATGTATATACAAATATGTATACATATAGAAACACATATATACATACATATACATGTTTGCCGGGTTACCTAATTATATCTTCAAGATAAAAGCCTGGAATGCAACTGCTGGGTTAGAGGGTATACCCATTTTAAAGATAAATACATATTCCCAAACAATCTTCTCAAAAGATTTTAACTAGATTTTCAGAAACAGGAAGTCTCCATTTACACTTGATCCTTTTTACCATGTTTTAATTTACAGTGTATGGTAACAGGAAAGTTTGACATTCCCTGCACACCATGTTTTTACTTCTCATTTTGTGAATTATATATTCCTGTCCTTAGACTATTTTTTTTTTACCAGGGTGTTACTCTTTTTTCTTATTAATTGCTGAGAGCTCTTTACAGACAAGGTAGTTTTGCTATTCAAAACTATAAAATGACTACCAACAGCAACTTTTTCTAGAAAAGCATTTATCATTTGTTTGATACCTAGAAGAAAAATCAGAACTCTATTATAAGAGATAAAATTGTTAAAACTTTTCACACTCAATAACTGCTACTCTAATAAAAAGCAGACTCCTTCCTAAAATTTCTAAAAAACAAAAATATTTCATTTGCTGGTTTAAACAGGGTATAGTGCCTGCTATAAACCAATGAAACAGAATATAATGACTTCTTTCACCACAGCAAAATAATCTCTCATACTGTCTGGGGTACCAAGAAGCAGGAGATCTTACCTCTACATGCCCACTACTGGCACAGAGAAAGCAAACTACCCTGGGTGTTATAGGGACAGAGGTCAAGATTCCTAAGCCTCCCATCTCCCACACATTTTCTGCTTCACAATCCTCCTGTGGAGAGAGAGAAAGATCATTTACAAGAGCCATATGACACAACACTGCATTGAAAATAAGGATAAAAAGCATAAAAACAGAGTGACACCAGAATGTCAAGAATATTTCATTTCAATGAGTTCAAAACTGCTGCTTTGAAAATTTTAAATCTCAAACACAATCTCTTGAAAGGCTCACCTGTTAACCACAATGCAAAAATTTATTGGGACTGTATTTCCCTTAGAGTTTGGCTGATTCAAGTGATCCTCATGGTTTGATAATTTCTATGTGAAACAATCACTTCCTCAGACACTGTTCTCATTGAAATGCACTTTAGAGCTCAGGATGGGCAGGGCTGTCTCCGTGCCTCTGTCCTCCAGTCAGTTCACAGACTGACCTGGTAACAAGTGACCAGAGCTCTTACACACTTGAGCCCATCTATTAATGGCAGCGCTTCACCCACCCCTACTGCCCGCGGCAAGGATTTCTTCTTTTTCAATGCCTTTGGTAACATAATTTTCTTTTACTTGTTTGTTTAACACTACAGTCCCATTTCCTAAACTGTTCTGTTGTTGTTCAGTCCCCGAGCCGTGTCTGACTCTTCGTGACCCCATGTGCTGGAGCCCACCAGGCTCCTCTGTCCATGGAATTTCCCCAGCAAGAATACTGGAGTGGGTTGCCACTTCCTTCTCCAGGTAACATCATTTTCTTGATTTAAAGTCCACAACACTTGGACTTCCCCTGGGGGCAGCGTAGTTAAGCATGTGCCTGCCAATGAAGGGGACATGGGTTCGATCCTTGGTCCAGAAAGATTCCACATGCCACAGAGCAGTGAGGCCCATGGCCCACAGATACTGAAGCCTAGATGCTCTAGGGCCCATGAGTCACAACTAATGAGCCCCTGTGCCACAACCACTGAAGCCTGTGTGCCTAGAGCCTGTGCTCCACAAGAGGAGCCACCACAGTGAGAGGCCCGTGTACCACAGCTAGAGAGAAGCCCCGCTCTCCGCCAACTAGAGAAAGCCTGCCTGCAGCAATAAAGACAGCCAAAAGTAAAAAAAAATTAAAAATAAATTCATAAAGTCCATAATACTCAATACACTCTGTGGTACCTGAACCCTTTTACCTTAAAGTCCACTCTGATCCTGTGGACGCCATCTGCTGGAACTTTCTGCTTGGAGCTATTGCCATTGGAGAGAGTGCTAAGGATGTTCAAAGTGCCTGCATTTTCCTGCTTATTGACCGGAGGTGGCTTCTCCTGCAGGGACAGAAGATGGATAAAGGACAAATCCACATCCGGCTTGCCTTCACTCTCACAACAGAAAATAACGCAAACAACAAACCGCACTACTAGTTCTGGAAAACATGCTTCCCATTTAAGTATCCTATAGAGACAGAGAAGCAATCTTCAGTTCCTCCCCCTGCCCCACCACTGAGGCATTTTATTGGCACATATGTATTATATCCCTGGAAAAGACATGCCAGGATTTTTGCTCTCATGCATCTTCGTCTTGCTTCCTTGTGGTCCATGATGCCTGCTGAGGCTGTCAGTACAATGAAGCCAAGCTGATGAGACAGAAGCAGGTTATTCTGCCACTGTTCTAGATCTTGGGACTTGCACACATCAAATGCGGAGCTCACTGCTCCACATTTGTGTAACCTGCCTATGAGATTCAGGACAATTTTCCCACCTCTGTGCTCATCAGTGATTTCAAATTTGCAACAGAACCACGCTTCATCATCACAGTTAGAAACAGACAATGACTCTGGAGCATGACTTAGTAAGAACTTGGCATTTGCCTCTCTTTTCAGCACTGCCGATGTGCTCCAAAGCACTGGCCTAGATGTGCATGCACACCATTATGGGGGCACTGAAAGAACCAGAAGATTCTTAAAGACCTGTCTCCACATAATAAAAATAGTGGACACAGAGAAGGGTGATTGTTATAGACAAATACTGCTAAAGGATGTTGAGCGGGGAAAAAAATTATACTAAGCAGCCTGTAATGTACACATAAGCATGTGGGGTTACAAAGAAGGGGAAAACAACTGGGGGAAAAAGGGAGCTAAAGCTTAAACCTGAAGTCTGCTAATTTTAAGAAACTCCACTGCCATCTACATAGAAGCAAAAATGCGGTATCACTCAATCCTATAATTGTTCAGAACTGGGCCACCTTCCTACACAACAGAACCCATGCTTGAGAAAACAGCAGAGAAAACAAATCTCTCCTCACCTTTTCTTTTGGCTTTTGTTTTACAGGAATACTTGGGCGAGGAGCCACTTTTTTCTGCTTGCTTTGCTCTGGACCTAAAGAATTCAGAATAAATTGCAGTCAGATGCCACTCAACACTGAGCTAATGCTAAACAGCAGTGATGACTCTGGGACTGATGGCCCTGTGAGGAAGAGGGCATCAGAAAAAACAAAAAGCTATTTAAACTCTAGGCTTTAAATAGGAAATTAACACAGTATCTCCAACTTAACTGGTTTTCACTTCTATTCTTTATTATTATTTAACAGTTAGAAAGAGCTAATAATCTTCCTGTACCAAAGACTTAAAAACAGACATTCCAGGTTTCCAGATGTTGTTTGCAACTCCAGGGCCCTGTGCTGGCTGCTCCATCTGCCGTCCTCACTCACCTGACTCTGGAGGTGGAGGTGGCTTTTTCTTGGGATCACTGGGAGTGGTCTTGGGAACTTCTTTTCTCGGTGGTGCTGTGCTGGGGGGTTGTGGGGGGATGGCTGGTGCTGGCTGGGAGACCTGCTTGCTGGACTTCCTGGAAGTGGGCGTGGCCGCATGCTTGGCCTCAGGTCCTGGGGTGGCGGTGTTCCCTTCCTCACTCTTGTCCTCCACGGGTTTGCGGGGAGGAGGGTCACTGTTGCTTTTCTTAGGGGCAGGATCCTCTCTTGCCGATGGGGTAGATTTCTGACTAGAGTCCACCGAGTTCTTCACAACGCTGCTCTCTTTGCTCTCCTTCTTTTCACTGGTCTTAGATTTCTTCTCTTTCTTTTTCACAGCTGGAGAAGGGGTGCAGAAAGCAAGATTTTTTAACGCGAGAAAATTCTATTGAAAATATAAGTAAAAGGACTTCCCTGGCAGGGGGCCTGGGTTTGATCCCTAAGATTCCACATATCACAACTAAGCCCACACGCTGCAACTAGGGAAGTCCTCATGATACAGGCTCTAGAATTCTCTAGCTCAAGTGCCACAATGAAGGCTCAGCATTAGTTAAATAAATAATGAAGATATAAATAAATAAATAAAATATAAATATAGGAATGTAACAACCTTAGTCTGAGTTTCCTATAGCTAACATTGACCCTGAAAGGCTCAACTTGCCAAGTTGACAACTCAAATGGGTATACTTTTATCATTTTAAGGAAATGAAACATAATGTAAAAAAAGAAAAAAGAAAAAAGAAACAATGTAATTTTATATGACTTCTTAAAAAAATTTTTATTATGGAAATTTTCAAACATATTCCAAGGAATAGTAAAATGAACATTCATGTACCTATCACCCAGCTTTAACAACCATCCTGGGAAAGAGCAGCTCTTGAAAAAAATCTTTACACTACCTAGTAGTGTGTACCAATGACATTAAAGCAGGAAGCATTTTAGAAAAGATCTCTTTATAACACTACCTTTTGCTTGCTTCTGAAGGTAGGCTTTGGAAGGCATCCATTGTAGATTCTGACATTTTCGCATCCTAGAATAACAAGGAATACCATAAGCAAACTTCATTGAGGAGAAGCAACTGAAACAAGTGTCAATTTGAGGGCAAGAATCAATGAAACTTTATTCAGGGTCATTTTGGGAATTGAAAAAAGGACGTCCTGCTCATTATTTAGACTAAATCTAAGTCTCTGAATCCTTTGATCATCAATTTCACCTTCCTCGAGGATTTAAAAGAGAAATTATCAATTTATTTTTGAAATGGGACTCAAATGCCTTGCTTCCCAGTACTGATTAGCACCACACAAAACGATCAGTCATTATTTCTTGTAGTCAAATTAGTTCTGCTTTCTTTTTTTTACATTTCTATTACTGTATTTTATTTGTTCTTTTCATGAAGTCACTCAGTCGTGTCCAACTCTGCGACCCCGCGGACTGTAGCCTACCAGGCTCCTCCGTCCATGGGATTTTCCAGGCAAGAATACTGGAGTGGGTTGCCATTTCCTTCTCCGAGTTCTGCTTTCTTATGAGATAAATATTCATAGTAATCTGAATATAAAATGGACTGAAACTACCCAACAAGTCCTTTGTCTACCACTATAATGCTACAGGGTCTGTCTTAGGGCTTGGATATATATATTTCAGTCCTCAACTTGATTAAACTCAATTTGAAGTCTAAAATTGAACTGAATCCACTGAAACGCCTATTTTAGTGCAAGTTTATCTTGCTATCGTGTACCTTTTTTGTTGATCTGTGAATTGTCTCACTTCTTTCCACTAGTGGGACCAAGACAAGATTCCTGCTTAGGGCCAGACTAAACCAAAGCCCAGAACTACCTAGTTTGTTCTAGAAACTGTCTCACCTTAAGTAAACAATGCAGCATTTTCCCCAAGTATATTTTATATAAATCATTTATATGTTATTCATTCATTCAGCAAATATTTACGGATAATACCTATTCCCGGTGCCAGGCACCTGATGAGATATTCAGACACCAAAATTTCTGTTTATGCAACCCTCTGGATCCATTTTAAACAAATTATCCTAGAGAGTAGAAAGTGCATTTACAAACTGACTTAAAAAAGAGGGAAAAGGTAGAGTAATCAAAACTTCCAGAAAATTCCCTGGCAGTCCAGTGTTTAGGACTTCCATTCTCACTGCCATGGCCTGGGTTCTGCTCCTGGTCAGCGAACTAAGCTTCTGCAAGCTGTGTGCAGGGTGGGAGAGGCTTCCACAGGCATGAAAACATTCTGAGAGTTAGAGAGCAGAGAGACCTATGTCACCAATATTTCCTAAATGCCATAAAGGTAATTTCCGCTGACCTAAAAAATACTATGCTTAAATTTGTCAGCATTTTAGTAGTAACCCTTCAGAACTGCATGGATAAATGGTAGCTCTAGGCACATGTGGCTAAGTTTAAAATTAAATGAAAATTTTAAGTGTTGTTCCTCAGTCACACCAAACACGTTTCAGGTGCTAACCAGCCATGTGGCTAAGGGCTACCTGACTGACCTGAGCAGATACAGAAGGTTCCCAGCACTGCCCCCAAGGTTTTCTTATTTAAGCGCGACCCAAACCTAGCACAAAGTCCAACTGTGCAACTCACTGTGCAACTCAAAGAGACTCAGCACAAGCACACTAGGTGTTGGGATGTGTTTTCCTCTGACAGGCCAGGACAGCGGTCAAGGCCACCCCTCGGGGGGACGCGCACTCACTTGCAGCACTGCTTCTTTATGTTGCGGCCACCGAACTTGGGCTTGTCCAAGCAGTTAGTGCAAACACCACAGTCCTCAGGCACCTGGCAGCCGGGACACTGCCCGCACCGCCTGGACCGCCGTCCCTTCTTCACCGGAGGTTCCTGAGGCGCCTTGTTTCTGGTGACAGGCTTAATTGGTTTGATGGGTGGAGCAAGAGGTTCAGCATCTTCTGAGCCAGCGATCGATGACTTGTCTGTTAAAGGAATGCGTCATCAGCTCTGAGGGAGTATCTGGTGCCTTCCCGCGAGCAGAGGGGAGATTCTCACAACCTACTGATGTCAGTATACACATTCAAACCTTCTTTTAACTGGAACACCAGAAATGAAATTCACTATAATAGTCAAATGCAGAACTCAGAGCCTGTTTTAAGTAAGTACTTTAAAGTTTCAAAATGCCTACAACTTGCAGCTTGACAACAGCAGAAATCCAAATACTGAAAACAAAATACAGTGTGACCAAAAGTCAAGAATATGAACTGAAGGCTTCTGAAGACTCTAACCTCTAAATTTCATTTGAGCAGTGACCCAGAGTTTAGGTACAATATGGTAACCATGAGAATATGTCTCAGGACCTCCAACCACAGAGAGCCTAACTGACCACGGGCCCCAGCTGCGGCACTCTGAAATCCAGGGGTACAGAGGCCACACTCATCACAGGGGCTGCTCTTGGTCTGTGACAAGCATGGCAGCGACACTAAGGCAGGCCCTGCTCCGAGGAGACATGAGACTCCCCTGACAGTCTGTGTTTGCCCAAGGGCTCCCCAATAGCCTTGACGAGCTGTCTCATACTGCATGGCCTCCAGGAAGATTCTGCCCGGCCTTCCTTCCCGCTCTCCTTTACTATGGTCAGACCTACAGAGCAGGCGGACAGCTCCCCCAGGCCTTCCTAACTCCCTTCCCATATATCAGGCACTTCTTCTAATAAGATCCTTACTTGGTCAATCCTCCCACTGACATCTGGTTCCTGGGGGGCCCATCCTAACATACAATGCTGGGCAGAGCCCACTGCAAACCCGCAGGATGATCAGCACACAAACCCAAGGTCATCCCCAACCTACCATCATTTCCCATGGAAGACAAAATCTTTTCTCGTTCTTCCCATGGTAAGGCACTCAGGGTGGGCATGTCATCAGGAAACACAGCTCGTTTTCGGCCAAGGGCAACAGCAGCTCTTCTGCAGACATGTTTAATCCGGGGTCCTCGCACAGACGTCTCCGAGGAGTCGCTTTCTTGACCCTGAGTAGGAGGCAAGCCCAGAACAAACAATGACAACCATCTGTGGTGAAAATAAAACTGAATGAAGCCAAGGTATAGTTGATTAACTTATAGTCTAGAGTCAACACATACAACTCTAGTTATCCCCAGCTGATATGCCACATCAATATACAGAAATCATCTACTTCTAAATTTGGCAGAAAAGGATTCTAATAAAAAAAACAGAAATCAACTAAGCTTCTATTCCCAATTACACTACTTCTTTAAAATTCCCCTCAAAAAAATTCAAGCTGCCAGTCTGTATTATCAAGGAGTTCAATCTCATTTAAATACGGCTTATCTAACAACAGACTGTTTCTCTGATCAGCAGAGAAGTAGGGGGAAATAACTTACAAATGGAGGCATAAAAGGCCACAGCTCCAAAGAGAAATGTCTAACATTTTAGAGAGCTACAGCTCCTATCACTAGGAGATTAACTAAAAATATCCAAAATGGTGTCACAAGTCTCATCATATTCCTGCTAGACCTCCCAAATGGCAGAATTACTAACTGTAAATGTGCCACTATGCTGAATTACATTAAAGTCTAAGTTTGTGGTCATTTTAACCTTGATATGTTAATATAAACATGCAACTACTACATGACAATTTTAATAAACAATCTAAAGATTGGCAGGTTTTCTCATAAAAGGCCAGTGTCTAGCTCACTTTGTAAAAAAATTAAACAGTGCTGCTCTTTACAAAGATCTGTTTGTCTTCATCTTAACTAACTGAACTGTACAGCTTTTCTGTACCACAACTTGAGGCTAAGTGCTTCTCATATGAATTCTGCAAACACCTGTTATCTAGTGACCTGTTCTAGTCACTCACTACTCAGGGGAAGAGAATCCCCCCCGCCCTGTTTTCTATAGCAAACAACAGTAAAACAATTAGACTGCAAAAATGTACCTTCAAAATTAAGTGAGATTCCATCACACCAAACCCATTAAGTACAAACAACTTGGCATTCGATGTAATATGGCCCCACATACCTTTAGGTCTTAGTTCATCACTTGCCTTCATGAAGCAGTCCAGCTATTCCCTGCTTGTGCCATATATTTTATACTTTTCTGTCTCTAGCTATGCTGTTTCTCCTCTTTTAAAGTTCTCCTCTATCATTTTCTACCTATCAAAATCCTATCTGTTCTTAAAGGACCACTGCAGATGCCACCACCTTTTCCTGATTCCCATAACTGGATATTAACTGAAATGGCCTCAAACCTGCTCCTAGAAGGGGCTCGAGAAACTGTTGATTTTAACGGGCAAGATGGAAAAGAGTACCTGTGCTTTGGGCTGGTCAGTTTGTTTAAGACTCTTACTCTTCTCAATCTTGCAGAGCTGGGCTTTGGCCTTTTTTAGGAGGCTGGCAACCCTCTTGTCAGTCATTGGAAGCTTGTCTGCCTGAGCCAACATGGAGCCTATGGAGGAAGTGGAATGTTTAACAGTGCTAGATGAAGGAGTGGAAAGGCAGAGGGTTTTCTCCTTCTCCAGGGATGGGGCAGTTGGGCCGAGGTCCAAGTTGCTTTTTTCCAGATTTCCTCTCCCTTTCTTTATAAGTATTTTGGTTTTGACAGCTGTCGTATCCCCAAGAGTCACAGAAGCAATATCAGTCCCAGAATCGAGTGATGAAGACTTCTTCCGCCCGGTTGCTTTTTTGGCAGAAGATGAAGCGGCCACATCGTCACCAACAGCCTTCTCTTTGGAAACTCTACCCACAGGATACAAAGCCGAGCTACTCTGAATTTCTGATCCCTTTTTCCTTTTCTCTTTCTTGGACTCCCGCTTATTCTCCTTTTCTCTCTCCCGGTCTCTCTCTCTACTCTTGTCCTTCTCCACGCTCTTGTCAGCATCTCGCTCTTTGGACAGCTCCTCGGGGGCCTTGTCTTTATTTCTCCCTCGTTCAGTCTGGGAGCCTGGGGTGAACCAAGGGAAGAGAGGAGTGGGACTACTGGATGAAAATGGCTCTGCCGGAGCACTAGTCTGCTTCCTTGGTCTCTGGTTTTTCTCTGCAGATTCCCCAGACTGAGTCAGGGAATGAGAAGGAAAAGTAAAAGTTGGGTTTAAGGCACTAGTGGCAAGAGGACCAACAGAAATGCTTAACGAGGAGGAGACAGAAGACGGTGGGGTGAGAGGTGACAGCTCAGAAGTGCTAAGCCTTCCACTTCTTGTCCTCATAGAGTGAGAAGGAGATCTTGGTTCAGATCGAATAGGGCTAAACACCTTTCTTTTTCTTTTCCTGTTAGATACTCCTGAAGAAGATGTTCCAGCAGAAGTTCGATTACTAGGCAAGGTTACAGACTCAAATATCCTAGAGTGAGCCTCACTCGGAGTAAACCTCGGAGCTCTCAGAAGTGGGCTCCTTTTGTGCATATCGAACCTTGTTCCAGAATGGAGAGGTGAAAACAATCGAGCTGAAGCAGCAGGACCAGACGTAGAAAACCCGGACGCGAAGCCGACATCCTCAGGAGTTAGTGGAGGGGGGCGGAAATTATCAAAGATTGGTTTGCGAATAAGACCTTCTTTGGCATACTTTGCTGAGGAAAAGTACTGTGGCTCTGACCTAGAGTGCTTTAGAGAGGTCCACCTAAATGTTGGTTCCCGCAAAATAGATTTTCGCTTCCCTTGCATGGGAGCAGCGGAAGTAGGCAAAAATGGTGATGCTAAGGGGATGGTTGGAGGCATGAGCCAAGGTGTGTGGTCAGAGATACTGGAGGCTGGCTGCAGTGGGGGTGGAGGTGTCAGCAGGGGTGGAGGAGGCGAGGAAGAGGTCTGCTGCTGGGGGGCACTTTGCAGAGTGGATAATTTTTTTGTGGTTCTGGATCCGAAACTTCTCTCCGACACCGAATACCTTCTGCTTCTCCGGTCACTACTGTCATTTTCTGGGGACTGGGAAATAGGCAGTGGTGTATGGACTTCAGGGCTATCGCTCCGCTCTTCAGGAAGGACCTGAATCTCCTCAGAGGCCTGAGAATCTGTGGAGGTATCGACACTGGGGCTACTGGATCGGGAGGAGTCTGAAGACATTTGAGAGGAGTGCTGAGATGCTGCACTTGATTTTTCAGAAGATCCACAGGACGTGGCACTGAATCTACTGTTCGGTGTAGACTCCAGCCGGGCAATTTTAATTGGAGGGTCATAATCTTCATCCTCTATGAACCGCCGAGGGGTTTTGATGATCCGAGAGGAGATGGCACTGACAACAGGCATGATGAACTGTCGGATGTTTTTGACCTGTGTCTTCACCTTTCTTCCTTGCAGCTGAGCTGCTTCTTTCTCGATTTTCTTTTGAGCCCCCTTTTTTGCCCTCTGCAAGAGCTGCTTAGCAATTGTTGCATCTGTCCTTTTAGAAGAAGGAATAATCCTGACCGGCTTAATCCTTCGAGGGCTCTGTCTGACTACTGTCTTATCATCTTTTGTAAGTGGAGGTGTTCCTTCCTTGTCTTTCCGGACCTTCTGGGGCTTTTCCAGTTCAGAGTTAATGAGGAGACCTGAAGGGGTCTTTATCCTTTCTGTTGATGGAGGCCGTCCTCGCCGGCGTACAATTTGTACCCCCTTCCTTCCTATTTGAAGCTTCCCTGTCTTAAACTTTGACTTGAGAGGAGAGAGTTTACCTGCTCTTAATTTTTTAATCTTTGTGGCTTGCTGAAATGTAGCGGAAGGCGTGCGTTTCATTTTCTTCAGGCTATCTTCTTTGTTTCCCTTTGGTAACTCGGAAATGTCCTTTCCATGTGTTATTTTGAGTTTTACTCCAGGGAAGGTGGGAGGTCTTCCTCTCTTCTTTTCTATACTTTTAGAATCTCTCTTCTTGATCTTATCTCCAGATTTGGTCTCTGATTTACTTAGAGGGGAGAACACAGATGGGTCTGAGAGGAGAGCTGAATTTCGGTCAGAGCCACTTCTAGGTCTCCCGCGAGGTTTTCGAGGACTAGTTTTAACTGTGTGTAGAAATTAAACAATGAAGAGCATATATTTAGCTTTGCAGTTTAGGTCTTAACTAAACTGAAGATAATTTAGCAAAAGTTATTCTGTACTGAACTTTATCTGGGTTTAATCAGTCAATAAAACATCTTTATTGTGCTTAGTTTCTTTTCACCAAAAACCTGCCTCAAAAAAATCAAGTAAATAACATTCTACCTAAAAGAACCCTTAACTCTTTTGATAGAAAAACTAAGATAATCAAAGAGGTTTTCAACTGAGCAGTTAATATATACAAAACTAATTTTCCTACATCTTTAGGTGAACAAGGCTTTTTTTCTGAACTTTAAAAAAAAAAAATCTGTTTTAAAAAAATCTGTACGACCTTTTCCATATTCTAGTCATCAAGAGTAACATTTGAGAACACATTTATAGTAAGTCATCCCATTTTTTTCAACTCAGAATTTTGGCTTTAATAAATATGAACGAGGTGCTCTCCAATCAATAATATACCAACTTCCATAGGCTACAATAATACACCAAATTCTACAGGCTGCTCAGCTTCCTATATTTTCAATCTGCTTTGCCAAAGTAAGTTAAGAAAGTTTCACTGAAAAGAAAAATATTCATTCATGAGACATCTCAGTCAAATGGCATGAGATATCCATTAATCTACTCCCTTATCTATAGGTTCTTGAACCAGTCTTAAATTACAAAAAAGATTTAACCATAATTGATGTCAAGAGCAAACTGACTATTTAAATCAGATTTCTTCTATTCTAAATAAAAAGAATCTGCCAACTTTTAATCAACTCAATTTGCTATGGTATCAAGAGGCTTCAGAAAACCACAGTTTTCTAAAATTCTTTTCTTTTGGGTGGGAGGAGGTGTTGCTGCAAGGCTTGCAGGATCTCAGTTCCCTGACCAGGAATTGAACCCTGGTCCCAGGAGTGAAAGCCCAGAATCCTAACCACTAGGCCACCAGGGAACTCCCTAAAATTCTCTGTATTGTCTGTACTTTCTAAATGTATAAATAAGAGTTGCCTCGCCTGTCACATCACTTCTCTCATGACTTTTCATGTTTTATATGACTCAACATTCTTCTGAGATTAAAACTTCCCCTAACAGGTACCAGAAGAGATTTATGCCATTGTGATGAACATTTTAGACTTTGGAACCGGCTTCCTAACAGAACAGAAATCAACAAAGGTCTGATTGTTGAGCTTTCTAAATATAAATGCTTTCCTCACCAATTAACTTGAGACTCCTCTTAACAGATTAAGGATTCATGTATCTGTTCTCAGTATATGCTAATCACAACAAAATGGACTATGGGACAGCAGGGAAACTACGCTTCATTCCTTTAAAATAATAAAGTACATATAAATGGGCTTTTTAAATTAAAAAAAAAAAGACAATATCTGAGATACACTGACAGCCAAGGGAAAAAAACAAGAGGAAGCCATCAAGGGCTGTGAATCAACAAATTAAACTCTACCCAGATGTACATCACAAGATTCCTTATGATCTTGGTAAATCTGAATGTGGCCACTCATAGGCCTTTATTAATTCTGAAAACCTCTTCGATCCATCTTTTACAAGAAACTTTTGGTGGACAAGTAGAAAAAAGCACAAAAGAGAAAAGTCCAGCTCTGCTGCTAACTTCCATAACCCACAATATATTCAAAGAACTCACAAATCAGTTAGAACTAACTACTCAGCGTGTCTTTTCCTGGCCTCATTTTGTTATCTATAAGTGAAGGGTTAGACTAGACAATCTCTAAAATCACCTTCATTCTGATATGAAGTTTTAAGATTTTATCACATCCTAAAAGAGACATTGCTGCTCTCTAAATGGCACAGGTACAGGAATACTACTGGTTAAGCTCTTCCAGCTAGAACAGCAATACTATCACCACTTGGGAAAGGAAAAACTGTTAACGTACTGTGCTTGAGTTAGATTACTCTATAGTACATGATGACTCTTGAATGAAATGCAAATGATGACAAACAATCACAAACATCAACGACAAGAACCAAAAGCACAGCTAACATCATATTTAACTAGCCTGTTTATCTACATAAAATCAAAGACAACCATACAAGAAGTCAGAATGGCAGCACAAATGGGAAATTTTTATTCATCATAAGATCTATCTCCCTCTTATACAGAACAGAATTCTGCAAGCCATTAGATGTTATTTTCACTGAGGATCATCTCACAGGAAACTGCTGTCAAGTCTAGAATTTCAACGCATTCTAGATATTTTCTTGGAGAGAACAATGGCAAATATTGTTAATAAATGGAAACACCCATGTCATTTTTATTTTCTTTCACATAGTTTTTCAAGGATCAGGTAAAACAGTTTCATAGAGTGCCAATATTTTGTTTTTAGTTCTTTGACAAAAGTAGACCAAATTTCATCTGTTTAAAACAACGGTCAAAAAAAAAAAAAACAAAAAAACACACAACAGTCAAATTATTGGTACTATACAATTCAAAATGCATAAATCTGAGGATGCTATCATTAGTAAGTAACCTTCAATTTGCCTACCAAATTTTATAAGCACTCGAGGGAAATCTAGCCCCATGCCACAGGTGGTTCCCACAGAGAAGCATAATTAAGGATAAACCAAAAGTGATCTAACAGAGAGGAGCCCCATAAAGAGGGCTAGTTCATAAGCCATTTCCTACTTAGTGTGAGGGAAAGGGAAGGATTTCTCCAAAAGAAACCTAAGACCACCTTTTACATGCAAAGAAGGCAAGGGGAAGTCACAGTCTCTTAACAAACAAAACTTAAAGGCGTCATGTGTTTAACTCATGTGTTTAACGGGTCATACCTGAAGGAGACCTCGTGGGACTTCGTACTCTGACTTCTTCATCTGAGCCAAAACCTAAGAACTGCTCATCCTACAACAAAGGAAAATTATTTTAAAATCAGGAAAAAAACCAACCCATAAATCTGAACATATCCCAAAGAAATGCCCAGAGGAGACACAAATGAATTTGGAAAATTTAGCCTCTATATATCAATCATCATCATTCCTATGGATATTATTATAAAATAACTTAATACTGAAATAAATAAGCCCAGCCATATGGCTTCAATACAGACAAACAGGAGCTGTGTAGTAACTGAACATTGATAAGTCACCTTTGGTGTACACAGGGGACAGTCCTAAATTTCAACCTATAGATACAGCCCAAAACAATTAAAGAATGACTTTAACTCAAGTAAGCAAATCAGTACAATGGCAGAAATACACAGCCCCAATAAAAAATATTTTCAACAAGTAAAGTTTACAGACACATAAGGAATAACCTACAGTATCATAATCTCTTGTCTACTAAATATTAAGAGACTGAAATTGCCAAAATCGTCAGTTCCTTAACTCAGGAATTGACATTTAGATGTGATTTCTATACATTTGAGATCCAAAGATTCTCAACATGCATTTTATGGCATCATTTTTAAATGCCCTGTGATAAGAGACTTAATGGTGGGCAGCAGCATTTGTGAAAGGATGGTGAATTGGCCACATAAAGGGTGAAATGCATCCAAGGGTAATTGAAGAAAGCCTTTAATTTCAGTTGTATTAGAAAAGGCAAAAGGCAGAAACTTTTCTTTCCCTCTAACTTTTAATCTGCTTTAAAAAAAAAAAAACTAAGGATTTAACCAATTTTGAACAAATTCTCAAGAAACACGGTCCATTTAAACAACCTGATTAATAGACATTCACCAATTCAGAGACTAAGAGTTCTTTCTAGAAAGAGACAAGAAAGAGAATTTCAGATGCCAGAAACAAAATCCACATAAAAGAACAAATTAAGGAATTAAAGACAGATTTTCTTGTACCTCCAACTGATACTGATAATCCCCAAATTAAATTTGAAGAGTTAAAGGCCCCCCCAGTTTTAGAGGGGACCAGTTCAACTCTTGTTTGTGGATACACGACACCACTGTAGAGAAGGAAGGGTTAGTCTGAGGTCTCGATTTCTTTATTTATTGCAGTGTTACAAGGAATAAATGAAATAATTTATGGAAGTTATGTAATTTATGTAAAATCACTCAGAAAACTAAAATGTGGCATCCACACTGCAGTTATTATTATTGATGTGATTTTAGAAACTGAAGCTCTGAAAGGCCAGATGACTTACCCAAGACCATACAGTTAGTTACAAAGAACTTTGTACCATAATGCCTACAGTCTAAAACTAGATTTAGAGGAATCCAATAAATTATCTACACTACAAAATTCGATAAATTTTTTCCGCTACTATTAAACTAACATGAAGCCCATTTTCAAATCCTTAAAATTTCTGATTTAATTCATTCTTTTCAGACACTTTCTTTATGGAACAACCTGGCAACCTATGCATTTCACAAAGACATCTGGGGATTTCCTAACACTTACCAGGGGACTACATTGCTAAATGCATAAATTCTATGCTCTGAGAGTGTTGCAACAAGAGAGGTCTAGCAACTATACACACACTAACCAACAGGTAAAGTAACCAAAGCAGAAATAACGAAACATGATTAATCTTTAAAAGAAACATGAGATTCACACTGCTATGTTCTATATTTTAAACTTTCACAATATGTAACTGTACAACCCTAATTCAATCTACTCCAAAACAGAGTACTACAGAGCTGTCAAGCAGTAATTAAACTAACTGCCAATGTTTAAAGTTTCCAAGTACTTTCCAAAATGACAGAAAGCGTTAACTCTTTTTCTGTGGCCTTGTAGTTGGAATAAGAAAAGACTGACTTTACTTCCATCCAAGAACTTTCTTTTCACTTGAAATATATTGACAGGTTGACTTCTTGAAGCACACTTAAAAAATAAGCACCCATTGTTTAAACAATCCAGACAGTTTAGTCAAAAACAAAAGCCATCATTGTTATGTTAAAGACTCTGGTCCGCTAACTGTGAACTTCCAATTCCATATAAAAGCCCCCCAAGCTGAGAAAGCACTGGGAGAAAAAAATCCTGCAAAAAGGTGCTACAAATGAAGTTCTTTCTGCCTCTCCTGTCTCTCCCATAACCCCCTTTAAATTCATCAGTTCCTGGAAGATGCAGTAAACAAGGTAACAGTGCTGGCTTTCCTCAGACTTGCCTAGAAATCAAAAGACCAAGTCCAAATGTCTACAAAAAGATAACAAAGAGGAGCTGCAATTAAATCCATGGTGGCTCAGATGATAAAGAATCTGCCTGCAATGCAGGAGACCAGGGTTCAATCCCTGGGTCGGGAAGATCCCCTAGAGAAGGGAATGGCAACTGACGTCAGTATTTTTGCCCGGAGAATTCCATGGTCAGGGAAGCCTGTAGGGTGACAGTCCATAGGGGTGGGGGCGCCGCAGAGTTGTACACAGCTGAGTGACTGACACTCTTTCTTTCACTTGGCACTACGGCCAAGTAAGCCTAGTCAGCTCTGAAAAGAGGAAACGGGAGACACCGTGCTACACGGGACCAAGTATTTCTGGAAACTGGGCCCAAACAGCCAGCTACACTTACTCTGGCTTTCTCTGACGAGCACAGCATTCCAAGACAAAGTATAGGCAAGAGGCAACAAACCTATTCCTTCTGGATAATGATGTCCTTGGAGATCATAAAAATGGTATCCTTTCCTTACCACCAAAGATAGAAAAATATACTTGCCAAGCTAAGCCCTTAAATCATATTTAGCTTCCAGAGATTAGGAATCCAATGAAGCTAATGTCATTTCCTAAGTGAAAGTTAATTCTAAAATAATAAACGTCTAGAATTTATTACCCCCACCCTTATCTCTAGGGGTTATTTGAGAACTTCCAAACATATCTTTTAACAGCAAATTCTACATTACCCATAAATATCCTAACATTTGAGGATTTTTATTTTATGCTAATGGTAGGATTTTAATCCTTTAATGGCTCTTATATTTGTGATGAAGCGATAAAGAATGTTTTCCACAAGGGAAACTAAGTGAACCCAAAATAAGTATTACAGACAATAATGTTTACATACAAAATGTAATGATGAAGACATTTTAGAAAAATACATTAAGTTCTATATTCAAGGAATTATGTACTACTAGGACAACTTTGCAAACAAAGCACTATTTCTTTTACTTTTCCATTCATTCAAGAACCATTTATACACTATCTGTTTCTGATGCAAAGAGGAGTAAGCCATGACTCTGCTCCCAAGAAGTATCTAAGGCAGACAGGCAGGTGCCCAATCTCAGCCTTCCTTTCAAAATCCTTTAAAATGTTGGTGAAGGATAAATGACTATGTAATTCATATTCTGGAATTTAAAAACTGGCTTAAATCTTGAAATAGTGCATTCTTCCTCTTGTATCAGTGTTAGGTTCATGGAGAAATATTCAACACATTTCAAAATTCTTCCAAAGGATGGCAATGTCTATCTCCATGCCTCAGTGTTGTTCTAGGCACCACTCCAGCGTTAGAAATCAGAGAGAGTTTAAGTAATGGAGACCTAAATCATCTGCGGTGATTAGATGTGACACAGTTCCTAGGAATACCAGTGATATCTGATCTAACTTGCAACTGATAGATAGAGGCCAGTGCATTTTCCTCCCTACTCCCAACTAAAATGCGTAGATTTTATCTCCTCCCCTCAATTCCTCCTGGTTTACCTTACAGCAGAAATCACTCACCTGGAGTTTTCCCATCTCCCGATTTTATGTGGTGATTCCAAAGTTATTTTGAAAACTAATAAACAAGCTTGGGCACATCTGGCCTTCAGTGAATAAGGTTTTGGGTGCCTGCTCATAGCTCCTTTCTTTTCTTGTGAGATTCCTCAGCACTTCAGAGCACTGAATTAGGTGGTAGGTAACTTAGCACCCTTCTGTCTCCAAAATGTTTACTCTTTTGGGTTTAAAAATACCAAATTTCTAAAAAAAAAAAACCAAATTTCTTCAACTACAAAGGTTTTACTGATGGATCAGCTCTTAAATAACATCCATAACCACAGACTGTATCAAAAGCACCCTGACACCTAACTGTTTGAAATTGTTTTGAAGGCCTATAATTTTTGACATCATCATATATGGTTCCATCATATGAGGAGGCCACAGAACTAAGAAAATTACTAAGAACTAAAGAAGATGAAGAAACATCAAGGAGGCATACAGTGCATCTCAGTAGCTCCAGTTAAAGAGGAACACTTCTCCTTTGGAATTTATTCCCGTCAGTTATCACTTCTGCTGGCACATTTCTCTGTGTGACACCGGCTACAATTCCCTGGTGATCCAGTGGTTAGGACTTGGCACTTTCACTGCTGAGGGCCCAGGTTTGATCCCTAGTCCAGGAAGATCCCACATCTGAGGGGCAACTAAGCCTGCGCACTAGAACTACTGAGTCCCTGAGCCCTGGAGCCCATGCTCTGCAACAAGAGAAACCACCAAAACGAGAAGCCTGCGCACACAAGGAAGAGGAGTCCCAGCTCGCCGCAACTGGAGAAAACCTGTTCATGGCAACAAGACGCAGTGCAGCCAAAAATAAAATAAACAAACAAGTAAACCTTGGGGGAAAAAAAAGAACACACAGGGAGATTGACCTCAGGCTGGTGGTGGTAGTTTAGTTGCTAAGTCGTGTCCGACTCTTGCGACCCCATGTACTATAGCCTGCCAGGCTCCTCTATCCATGGGATTCTAGGCTGGTTCAGTTCAGTCGATCAGTCGTGTCCAACTCTTTGAAGTTGAATCGCAGCACACCAAGCCTCCCTGTCCATCACAAACTCCTGGAGTTTACTCAAACTCATGCCCATTGAGTCGGTGATGCCAGCCATCTCATCCTCTGGCGTCCCCTTCTCCTCCTGCCCCCAATCCCTCCCAGCATCAGGGTCTTTTCCAATGAGTCAACTCATCTCATGAGGTGGCCAAAGTATTGGAGTTTCAGCTTCAG